AGCCATGGGCGGATGCTCCGAGACCGCGGTCAGAATCGACGGGGTCGGCGCCGGACCGGGCTCGGAGGAGGCAACTGAACGGTTGGCGAAAAAGCGCCCGGGCGGATCGAAAGCTCCATCCCCATCAGCCGCCAGGAGCCGAAGAGCCGCCCGACATGACCAGGTCACAAGGTGAAGGGGAACCTGCTACAGCTGCCTAGATAAAGGGGGCTGCGGATGCATAAGCACGGGCTGGCACCTGACATGCAGAAGCACAAGCAAGCAGCACACGCACGACATGTAGAGAAGCCGGCTCACGGACAGACTGCAGATTTTCCCGGGCCAGCAAGACTGTCAGTCGAGATGCGAAAGACGGGAGAAGCAGGCACCGCGCAAGCACAAGACAGAGCCGGGCGGTGGCACCAACAGCAACGGACCTGAGACAAGCTGGTGCGTTTGCGATCCGCAGGCCCAAAGTGCACGACATTACTGCGATTGTTGTGCAGCAGCCAGGGTGCGGTTGACGCCGCCTTGATGGCCGCCTTCTCGACCAAATCTGCCTCGAAATCAGGGACCTCATCCTGCGTGACGGACGGATGGTCGGATTCCTCGGAAGACAGCGAAACGAGGTCCTCATCACGCGACAAGGGGGCGGCCGCAACCACAGGCAACGGCGGGGGAGGATCAGCCGGCAAAGGTGCAGCAGGAGACTGGGCTGGACAGTGAGTCACGTAAGGACGGAAGGCCAGCCGTCTTACACATCCACGACAGGGCCTTGAGTGGGGCCGTGGCAAGGCCCTGGGGCCAGCCAATCAGGGAGACGGAGCGGCCGGATGATACAGCAAAGCAAGGAAGAGCCGCCACAGATGAAAACGGGCAAGTCTTCCCGAGGTTGGGAGGTCGGTAATCAGGCTTGGTACGGCCGTCCGGCCAACGGCGAGGAGGAGCATGGGAGCGCACCGCCAAGGACGGAGACGGCACCGAGGCAAAACCAGTCCAGGAGGACTCAGGCTGAGCCGGGAGAGAGGCGCCGGCACAGCAGAAGAGGGGCAGCCGCCGGAGGATGGTGTGTGCGAAGCAAGACTAGGAGGCGAAGATGCACAGGAAGCCGCACCAGGAAGCAAATCCACCGATGTAGACGGAAGCTCCGGCACAGCAGCTGACAGCCTAACATAACTAACATAACCATCAGACGGAGCAGGTGCAGCGGAAGAAAGGACGGCACGCAGCATCACCGGATCGTGCCTCGAAGGGCTCAGTAGGCGAAGAAGACAAAGAAGGGCGGCCACGGTCCTGACAGGGAACAAATGCAGGCAAAAGCAAGTAAAGGTACACGGAAACGGACACTAATCGCACGCAGCCAGACTTTTTCAAGGAAGATCGCGTCGGGCGGAAGATTAGTGGCCTTTGAGGCAATTGATGCAAGTATGCTCGTCGTGCTGCTTGCGTTCTCCGTAGAGAACCGGGCGGAAGCACATTCCAATGCATCCAAAGCCGTGACTGTTGGCGGACCAACGGTCACAAATGTGTGTACAGTATCCGCGGACGGGAAGGTGTGAAACGGGTTGCGCCGGGGCCTGCCGCTCAAGCCAGGACGGACGGTCCGCCGGGCGGATGCAGAACAGGTCGGGGTACGGCCACCAGGTCGGGCGGCAAATTGTCTGCGGAGAGGACGGAAAGTGGTTGCAGACGCGGATCTTCCAGCCTTCCCTGTTGCTCCAAAACCTTGCTTCTGCATGGGCTCCGGCAACGGGGGTCGATGTCGACCCATTCAAAGCCATCGGGCGGCAACGCGGACGGATCCAGTTGCCGCAACCACTCCGACTTCCATGCGCTTTGGTCGCCGAGGCCGGGCAGAGGCCATCGGCCGGAGGCGCCTGGTCGGGCGGCCGCATCGGAGGGCCCGCGGGCGGAGCAGCACCACCATCCAGATCGAGCAAGTTCGTCGACGAAGCCGCACCGGACGGGTCCGCAGCCGGGTCGGAAGTGGGTGCAGCATCACCGGCCGGAGGAACCATGTCCTGGTCGTCGCGATCCACGGGCGGCCTGGAACCGCAACGGGGTCAAGCCAAGCCGGTCGGCAAAGGCTGCCGGCGGAGGAGGCGGCAGCTCCGGACGGAGTGGCAGCCATGACTCCACAGAGAGCGAAAGAAAGAAAGCGAGGGGATGCTGTGATCACAGAAAACGGGCTACAGCATAGAGCTCATGTGAAGCACAACAAGCCAAGCCGGACAGAAGTGCAGTGAAACGGACACAGCTGCATACAGTCCTCCATGGCACCGGTCGGAGATCGTACACTCGCCGCGGGCGGAGTGATGATACCTCAAGCCAGGAAAGAACCGATCCTAGAGAGAGCCAAAGGATGGCGCCTCCACAAGGACTCGGAGTGCCGACCGGACCTGGGTACCGGAAGGCAATGAAGAACACAAAGAACGGACGGAGCATCTGAGCACCCGAACGAAAGGCTCGTCGTTTGAGTCGTGACCTGGCACGACAGCAAACAACGGAGCCAAACCAGGGCAGAGCAAGCCCAGCCTGGTAAACGACTGTCCACCATCACCGGTCCTGACGGACGGGATGCAGAGCAGTCACCCAAGGAGCAAAGATCAGTCCTGCCATGTCGCCGGGCGGATCCGGGCGGCAAGGAGAGCGGGATCTCTCAGAACTGGAAGTCGATGGAGAAGCCATGGCTCGCACCTAAGGTCGGAGGCACCTGACAAGACGCAAAGGCAAAGCCGGACCGGACGGACGAAGACCCAACCCGGACCGGAAAACCCAGAGACACAAGTCAAATGCAACCGACCCGCTGCGAGCCGAAGGCTGCGGCGGACGGTTGCCGTTGCGTCCTGTTCCAAGCATACCCGATCCCCGCTCGGTAATTCTTATCATTGGGGCACCACTTCGAGACCAAAGCAACGGCAACAAATCGTAGTTCTTAGCATAGGGGCACCACTTCGAGACCAAAGCAACGGCAACAAATCGAACATCTTAGCATTGGGACACCACTTGGAGACCAAAGCCACGGCAACAAATCCTACTTCTTAGCATTGGGGCACCACTTGGAGACCAAAGCAACGGCAACAAATCGTAGTTCTTAGCATAGGGGCACCCATTCGAGACCAAAGCAACGGCAACAAATCGTACTTCTTAGCATTGGGGCACCACTTCGAAACCAAAGCAACGGCAACAAATCGTACATCTTAGCATTGGGGCACCATTTCGAGACCAAAGCAACGACAACAAATAGTACATCTTAGCATTGGGGCACCACTTCGAGACCCAAGCAACGGCAACAAATCGTACTTCTTAGCATAGGGGTGCCACTTCGAGGGCAACAGATCGTACTTTTTAGCATTGGGGTACCACTTGGAGACCAAAGCAACGGCAACAAATCGTACTTCTTAGCATTGGAGCACCACTTCGAGACCAAAGCAACAGCAACAAATCCTACTTCTTAGCATTGGGGCACCACTTCGAGCCCAAAGCAACGGCAACAAATCGCACATGTTAGCTCGGGGCACCACTTCGAGACCAGAGCAACGGCAACAAATCGTTCTTCTTAGCATTGGGGCACCACTTCGAGACCAAAGAAACGGCAACAAATCGTACATCGTAGCATCGGGGCACCACTTCGAGACCAGAGCAACGGCAACAAATCGTATTGGTTAGCATTGGGGCACCGTTTCGTGACCAAATCAACGGCAACAAATCGTACATCTTAGCATTGGGGCACCACTTGGAGACCAAAGCAACGGCAAGAAATGGTACATCTTGGCATTGGGGCACCACTTCGAGACCAACCAACGGCAACAAATCGTACTTCTTAGCATTGGGGCACCACTTCGAAACCAAAGCAACGGCAACAAATCGTACTTCGTGACATTGGGGCACCGCTTCGAGACCAAAGCAACGGCAACAAATCCTACTTCTTAGCACTGGGGCACCACTTCAAGACCAAAGCAACGGCAACAAATCGAACATCTTAGCATTGGGACACCACTTGGAGACCAAAGCCACGGCAACAAATCCTACTTCTTAGCATTGGGGCACCACTTCGAGACCAAAGCAACGGCAACAAATCGTAGTTCTTAGCATAGGGGCACCCCTTCGAGACCAAAGCAACGGCAACAAATCGTACTTCTTAGCATTGGGGCACCACTTCGAAACCAAAGCAACGGCAACAAATCGTACTTCTCAGCTGGTTATTGGGCAAAGCAGCTTGACAGCATATGGATGCGTGACTAGGCAAGTGAATGTTTGAAGACAGTCAAAAGGTCTGCGCGCGAGGAATTGAAATACATTGTTCGAGTCGTGTAAGGAGCTGTTGCTGTGCTGTTGCAGCGGAGAGAGTAGAGCAAGCGGGCCAATGGGTGCATAAGCGAACGAAATCAAATAAAGCAAAAATCAACGCCGTGAAATGGACGAATTCAGTGCGTGAGCTAGTACCAAGTCGGCGTGCATCAAGAGAATGCCCGGCAAGCAAAACGAAAAACAAAAGCAGCGAAGGGCTGGAGCGAAGACCTTTCAAGCTCACCCCGTCCTGTCAAACGCTCAACTTCGCAAACAACACTCTACATCAAGTCTTCAACAATGCGTCTCGTGTTACAAGCAGGCTACAACCACACCAAGCAAACCTGCAGCAAGCTCCCACGCATCTGCAATAGCACTACCTCCGCGTGGGTCAAATTGGCTCCGCGAACCAAGACACTTCAAAGACTTCAAGAAAACTCCCACCGTCAATCCGAACATGTACTGCGGAACTTTCCGCAAGTCCCACTCCCCAGCGAACTACACCAGCTAACTACACCAAAGCTGGTGTCGCGCAACAACCGAACAAGCAGGTTTTAAAGACAAGGTTTGGGCACGACACAGGCAAAACTTACTACGAGTACGACTACTTGGCTATTGATTTCGTATCGGTTGACATCATGGCAGGCGCACGCAAAGCGCCAGGATCGAGTTTAGCTGGCACTCGGAGCTGCATGAAACAGCATGAGAAACTTTGAGAATAACGAGCTTGCCTCTCTGTTTCTTTTCCGTTGGCCCTGGCGTGCAAACGATCAACAGCCCCAGAAGAAAGACTCGTCCCACCTTCGAGGGCGGAGCCTTGCCCTTGCTTTTGCTCGGCATGGCTCAGCTTCCGGACACGCTCACGAATGCAGATGCAGTGTAAGCAACTTGGGCCGAAACAGAACCGCCATCGGCGCTTTTGCGTAACGGTGCAGGTAATGAAAGCTGGCTACAGTGCCTGCTTCTCCTTTTTGCCACGGCTATTGCTGCTGCAGCCAGTTCTGTCGAAGGTTGAAACACGAGAACTTTTGTTCTCCTGGGGCATCAAAATGATGATCACTGCTTCCAACTATAACGACTTCAGATCAAGCCTGTCAAAGAAACCTTCAGAACACATTAACCCATGCTTGGCCGTGGGGACACCTACTCCACCGAATACATTGTGCTGTCGGGTGCGTTTTGTTACCTAGGTGCGGGAATGCTTCTGGCCAAGCAACCGCATGCAAGCGGATTCAGCGAGGGATGCTTTTACATCCCGGAGCACGTCGCCGGGTCTGGCAACCACCTGTCCGTCATTTGCAGCATCACGTTGCACATATTGCGAACAATCCTTTTGGCCTATTTTAGAACGGCCTCAGCAATCCTTCTGCTTCCATCACTGCAGCCCGGACGTTGTCACGTGTCAACTCCACGCCTTTGATGACCTGAGCACCCCCCGGTGGGCAGCCGTCGTGACAACTTAGGGACTCGGGGATGCGCCAAAGCCTGCAGCAAAACGTCTGGAGGAAGGCATCCTTGCAATCTCCAAGGCGTCAACGTCAACAGCGCTGCAAGTTAACGGAGCAAACCAAGGAGTGTGAAAGAATATGTTCCTGCTCGACGCCCGGCCTAGCTCAGGCGGGATCATTGAGATGAACGCGCGAATCACCTGAATAAGAGAAAAACCTATGATCACACACGCAAACACAAACGCAGGACTTTGTCTCTAGGCACCATCATGTCCCTGCCTTGCGCGGGCATGGCTGCTTCATCTTGGGCCCCTGCAGGAAAAGGAAGAACAAAGAGGAGGCAGGAGCTGTGGGGAAGCCGCGGAGCTGACACCGCAAGGCAAAACGACACTCGCCTCGTAGACTTCCCGGACCTGAACCGGCTTCTACATAACACTGATTGTATCTGGACAGTTGGAAGTTAGCAACAACTACCACTGAATCGCCCGGGTTGGGGACCACCAGCTCGTCCCGTCCATGGTAGCGCCCAAAGCGGCGACCTGTGCCAAGACACGATCGGGGAAAGCGTCAACCCCACTGCACCGCCATGGGATATCCCAACTTTAGCGCCGGACGACGAGGGTCGAAGCGAGGCGAAGTTGATCGGCCGCGCATGCCGCGCGTCATCGCCTCGATGATGTCGCTGAAGCTCCGGCTCTTGCCGAGGATGCTTGCCGCAATGCGTAAAGCCACGCATGAACTGCCTTGAAGCTGGATGTCTCATGGCCACATACATCAAGCGTTGTGCGTAGCTGCATGTCTCTCGGCTTCACCACAGTTTCTTACAACAAGTTTACAGTCCATTCTGAGTTGAGTCCCTAGAGGCTCGAGAGCAGGCGCAAGGCTCTGAGCTGTTCGAGCCTTCGAAGAGCATGCAAGAATTCCAGCATACAAGATTCCCTTGCTGCATGTTGAGCACTATCGCACCGCTGTTGAAGCATGCTTGGTGATGTTTCATACCAGGCTTCCGAAAGGGCTGCTAGTGACAAACTTGCAGCAACGGCCAAACCACATTCTCCAAGGTGTCGCGCCGTAACATCACAGGGACTCGTGAACTTAGACTGCAAGCTCTTGTCTCTGAAGGAGCATGAGAAAATCATCGGGATTTCCGAAAGCCGGCACTGTGATGTGGTTGATGCTTCGCAGACGTGGCGTACAGTATAGGAGCTGACTATTGCTGCTGGTGGTGGCGATGATGTGTTGGTTGTTGTTGTTGTTGTTGTTGCTGCTGCTGCTCCGGGCGGTCCCAGTGATGGCGGTGGTTGTGTGGTGGCTGCGGTGAAAGCGATGGTGGCGGTGGTTGCACTTGTGGTGTAAATTCCAAGATCTACACTGCCATATCTACTTTCAAAGACCCTTTACAACTCAATCATGGGCCCCCACCGTGCCATGCATTCTGCATTTCCGACGGGACACCCTGAACCATACTGACCAACACAGCAAATTCGACGCGGCATTTTCATCCGAAGTTGTGGTCCTGAGGCATGTTGCTGCGCACGCACCCGTAGCCCGAGCCTGAACTCAAATGTGAGGCAACAAGCATTCACTAAACATTCGATAACGAAACAGATGATCTGCATCAAGGTGGCAATTCAAGCTGGGCAGCAAAGATGTGTAATAGTGCAATCCACTCTCTCGCAATGTTCGAGAATGCGGCGGCCGCTGCCATTCCGAACAACCTTCGCAAGCCATTCCGATGCTTTGGGCTAGCAAAGGTCCTTGTATAACACATGCCAGGTCTCGCAAAGCTGAGTACCGAACCCAGCCAACACACTGATCTGCACAAGCCTCTGTAACTGGTGAGTTGTTGCCACACGCAAGGAGTGGAGATCTTTTTGCTTCTGGTGGAGAGACATGAACTTGAGCGACATGTTTGGACCTTACTCCTTTCACTTTCGCGCGAAGCCATGTTTAGGGCAGATGTGTCAGCATGTCCCTCATGATGAGCTTCTGACCAAGCATTGTCCCGCGTCACTGAGCTGAAGACGATCGAGATGTGGCAAACTGCAGTCGCGATGTGGGTGCTATCCAGCGAAGCAGGAACAAAACTCAACGTTGAACTGCTGCAAGTGGAGGTGCCTCGCACCAAGCACGGGGGCAGGCCTGTCAGAGCCCCTAGTCAACGGCCCCTCTTGCAAGCACCTCTCCTCAGTTGAAAGCTGAGGAAAGAGCGCGCTCGTGCCGCTCGGCTGAATCAGGGACCATGCCTGCCCGGCAAGAAGATTCGTACCCCCATCAGGTCGACAAGCCAGCAGCGGCAGCGTGCTATCTCAGCACAACTCGGCAGTACCAGTCTTCTCCAGGCGAGGACTCAGGGGCGAGCTTCGGGGTTTGCATGGTAATGCATGCCATCTCGAGTAGCTCTTAGCCTGTTTGCCCGCTGAAGTTTGGGGCCCAAGGCGGGTAATGGGCCTTGGAGCATCGCGGGCCACCTTTGGACTTGACTTCAATAGAGAAAAAACGTGCAGCACCACTTCAACCCACGCTGGGGTCCAGGCAAGGCTCTGAGAAATTCGACGAATTCATGGAGTTAGAGAAGCACTTCAGCTGTTGACCAGCCTTCATGACCTCTAGTACTGTGACTTCCCATCTCGTCGACTTCGAATGCGCCCTCGCGTGTCTTGTGTCAACGCCACCGTCTCTTGTGACGAATGCTGTCTCAAGATAAGCAATCACACAATCCAATGCGTTCTACTGCTGCACGCATATTCGGCCAGCAGCCGTACTCTAGCCTTCCCCGGAGCTGTAAGCATCCTTTTTTCTGTGCGGTATTGTTTCGGTCAGCAATCGTTCGGCAGGTCTGTGTCAAAGAGGCACCAAGCAATTCGTTCAACTTCTCGCCTCTTGGAGGTTACGGAATTACGGAATTTGAAAGAATTAGCTGTCGGTTTGCTTGATGCTCTGCCTGGAAACAACTCCCAGTTTCGCATCCTGTGAGGTCAAACATCGCGAATTAGATGCACACGCCAATCACGAAAACTCCTGGTGCTTCAGGCCTCGTCGTCGTCCAACACGTCTTCAGCGGTCTTAGGCTAGTCCGGAAGGCTGTGAAATCAAGGTTTGCACCGGCGGTTTCAGATCTGCTTCTTGGCTTCTGGAAGGCCTACATCTGTTTAGACGATCTGCAGCATGAGGCGACTGGCGTGTGACGCAGTGTAGGGCTTCGGCCAATCAAAGGGCACACGAATGGAGCAGCACGACACTCCACGACAAAGTCCAGCTAATTTTCGGGAATACCTAGAGAACACCATTCGAAACACTTCGGTCCGTCTGCTTTTGCCTGCAGGAAGGGTTGCCGGGCTATGTAACGCTAGGCTGCTAGGCTGCTCTCTCGGACTTGGACTCCATCCAGAGTGTTCAGAGCTTCGTCCACCTCCAGACTGACCTCCTCTCGCTGAGAAGGCTTGAAAGCATCTGGCTACAACGAGACACCAAGCACGGCAGACACAAAGCACAGTAGGCACGAAGCTCCGCCACGTGAAAAACCAGCCCGTTCTGGTGCGTCCGAGTTCCCGAACTCGCAGGAACCCTCAAAGCAGCTACACAGCGCTGCAAACCCAAAATGCACATAAGACGGTGTTAGATAACCGGCCATGCTAATGTTCAGCAATGTTCTTCGAACGTGGAATTTGTGGAGTCGCCGATCCGTCTGACACCATCGAATGAGAGGCCCCGAAGGGAGCCACAGTCTGTTCCAGCAGAGTGCAGCGGCCAACAGAGCGCTGGAGCACTTGAGCACTGCAAGGCTTTCTGGTCATCTCATACCTGGTGCTTACTGCATGCCGTGTCATGCAATCACGCGACAGGCGAAAGAGAGAATCGTTATCTCATGAAGCTGCGTGCGGTTCGTTGATCCGTAGGGTGCTTTGCGGTGCAGTGGCTACCGTGCACCGTCAGCCACTGCTTGGGCGAGCATGGACCATGGAATCCATTTCCTTGGGTTCAAGATTCTGCGAGGCCTTCGTTGCCACTCCCCACAACTGCGGTCCTCGCACCAATCGTGCTAGGCTCCACAAGCTTCGAGTTAAGCATGGAAGCTGCAAGCTGGAAGAACAAACGATGGAAGTTTTCGCTTGACGGAGTCACAGGTCTTGTGGCCTGCAGCTTCGTGCTTCCTGTGCGAGGCACATGCCATCAGAATTTACGGCTGCATCTCTGCAATCTAGACCGATCTAATCTGTCGGCTGAGACCAGACGGCCTCAAGTTACACCTCTTCAACTAAGGCAACTAGGGCTGATAAAACTTGCGACTTGCCGTACCTGCACTGCAGAGTTGCCGCTCTACGTGTCCGCGCCACTGTGAGATGATCGTCATGAAGATCCCGCGCTGGACAAGATGACAGGATGGCAGGGGCCATGGGTTCCACATGCACAAGCCCGCCCCACAAAGGAAACAGCGCTTGGGAGTAAGCCGTGCAAGGCTAACTTCCATCATACGGTCCACAGAATCAAGTCGAAAGGAAATGACATTACCATACAAACCTCTTCTCCAGAATGGACCTCTTATCATCTCCATGTCAACTACATACAGCGAAAGAAGGAGCAAACCTCGGAAACTGAAGGCAGCACAGCTGCCCCAAATGTATATAGATTTTCTTTGGCAGGTCCCACACCTGACGAATTGTCACACCTTTGGCAATGCATGTGCCTTTCTGGACTGCGCAGGCTGCGCCCAACCAGCCCAAAAGGTGTGTAACCTTTTTTATGGTTTTTGTTGGCAGGCCTCTTTCTCCAACTTGCTGTCGCTGGTGATGCGACGTGAAAGCACGAAGCCACTACAATAAGCATCAAAGAAGACTTGTTGACCGCTTGAGTTCTTGTGAAGAGCTCCAGGACGGCTTCCTGCTACACAGCACATGCCAGCATGCCAACTTGCTGTGAAGTGCAACCGGTGAAATTGTGGGAGCATCGAGGTGAAAGAATTGCCTTATCTTACCTCTCGACACGCTACTGTTGCTCCACATTTCCGCGGCTATGCACTGGAGTGTGCAAGTCAGACCAAAAAAATCAAGTCGATGAGAAATGGACAAGTCGATCTTTCGTGCACAGGCTGTGCGCCGAGGAGCAGAAGTGGGCCTGTTGTGGTGCGATCAATTCTATCTGGGTTTTGCAACAGCAGACATCAGGATAACGTTTACACTTTTGCAACTGGCCTGCTAACGTTTACACTAAACTTCTGTACCTAGCAGGCCTGTGGGAGGTACGTGCGCACAGACTGTCGCACTATGGATTGCCCAAGCACTTGCTTTAAAATTCCTGCTGGCCATCTTTTCTTTTCGTTTTTTGGCACAGCGCCTGCATTACCGGAATAAAAGGATCTTTTTTGGAGTTTGTAGGGCACGGTGACTGTGCGTCATTGCCAGTCTGCCCGGGAGATTCCATCACCATGGGATACTCACCTCAGCTGAAAGAGTCAGTGACCAGTCTATCTCCGCAGGCGCGGGCTCGCCCACGAGGCCCCGGCTTTTTTGAGATTCGCAAGCCACAGAGGCTTACTCGGTCGAGGCTTGTGCCTTGCGTGAGATCCCGCCGCACGCGAACTACCCACAAAACTGGTGTGGAGTCTGTCTCGCTTCTGCTCGGGGCAAAATTCCCTCCAGCTCTGTTTCCCGCCTGCAGCAGCACAGGGACAAAATTAATCGAAAAGCCGTTGTTCATCACGCCAGGATGCTCCTGGTAGCAAAGAGCTTGCACGGACGATCACACATAGGCATGGCTTGAGCAACACGTTCGGAGTTTGGTTGCCGCAAACTAGGACACGAGCTCGAGCTAGAGTACTAGACTTCTCGCGAGGCATTCGGCGTCGTTTGTTCTCTTACAGAGTCCCGAGGTTCGACCTCCGAAGGGCTCCCTTCTCCGATTGCCAGGATTTCACCTGAAGCAAGACAGCCGTCAAAGCGCAGAAATCCGAGATTTGACCAAAAGATGATGCCGAGTGCATCCACGACTATCTTCTAAGTCGTCGACACAGCTCCTCCACCCTGGCCAGACTCACTGGGCCTCGCGCTCTGTGTGCGTACAGGAGGTTTCTGGCTTTCAACTTGAGAGCAGTGCGGACGAAAGCTGGGAGCAAGAAGTAGAAACGCCCATTGATAAGCCAGTAGAGAAGCGATAGCATGGCGGAGGTTGGGGAGCCTACCGTGGTGCACCTTTCGACGCGATGCGTGCGCGGGTGAGCGTGCTGCAATGCCGATGGGCCACAAATACGGATGCATGACAGAATCAGCATACACCCAAGCACGATAGCTCAGCCCATTGATGGCCCAACCCATTGAAACCAAAAACCTACAAACAAAGAGGGCCTTGAGGGCGTGGGGGCCTTGAGTGGAGGGGGGGAGGGCCCCCCCTAATCGAAGAGTCAAGCGTGTGAAAGATCAAGCAAAAGGGGGAGGGGGGCTGGGGCCACACCCCCCGCCCTGCACATCTCTAAGTCCTTGATATATCGAACAGAAGGGGCCCTCCTTGCTAAGTTGTCCGAGAAAGAAGTACGTAAACAACAACTCCGGCAAGCTCCAAGGGGCTAGCTTTCGTGACTGTCCAAGGCCACGGCCGCCGAGTCGCAGCGGCTTCCGGCACAGATTCCGCCGAAACCTCAAAGGGTTCTGCAAGCCGGTGCAAGCTGCAGCCCGTACGACTTCAGCTTCAGATCTTGTAAGGCTGCAGCTGCTCCAGAAGAACAGCAGGGCCTTGTTCAAGCTGCCACAGTTTGGAAGCAACAAAAATTAACTGCAGGCAAACTGGTTTCTCCATGGGCTAACCCCACGACAGCGGTCAGGACCAGTCTGAGCCGCGCACTGATGGGGAGCTCCGTCTTCGGCCCCTCTGGGGCGGCAGAAACGAGGCCCCCGGCATCTTGCCTGGACTGCGGAATAAGCCGCTTGAAAGCTTCGTGTAGGCGCGAAGCCATACTAAAACCATTCCGGACTCCGAATTCCTGGGCAAACGTATCCTGACTGCTGCGACTGCTACCTTCGTCGTACGACCATCGACTACTGCCACTGCCTCTGCCACTGCCCTACCACTACCACTACCACTACCATCATCATCATCAACGAAAATCATCACAGCTTCAACAGAACAGAGGCACATGCAGGCGGTCGGTCGGCAAGAATGTCTTTCGACTGCAAAATCCCTGTGCAAACTCACACATCGATTTTGAAGCTTCATAAGATGTTCCTACAAGTTCCTACATGACGAAGGTACTGTAAATACCGAGCAAGAAAAGATGTGTTCGAGAAATGTATTCATAACTGCTCGGTGCTGCCTGCGCGTCATCATTCCCGCCCCCCTCCCCAACCCCCCCGGGAGCAACAACGGTGCGAAAGAACGTTGGTAAGCATTGGACGACATGACGAAAGTACTTTAAGTACCGAGTAAACAAAGCTTCCCTGCGGCCAATTTCGAGTTTCCGCCGAAAGCCCTCCGAAAGCACAATGTCGAGTTCGCAAAGTCCAGAAGTAGGTTTGGTGACTATATAACATGGTCCGACATCACGAAAGTACAATAAACACCGACTAACACCGACTAAAACGGCTCTTCTGGAGATGTTGTTCGGGGTGTCTGCGTAACAATGTCGTTATATCCCCCCGCTTCCCCCACCCCACCCCCCAAAAAAAACAAGTCCAGAATCGGAAGCTCGAGTTTGCAAACTCGCAAATCGATTTTTTCTGGCTTCATAAGATGTTCTTACATGACGAAAGTACTGTAACGACCGAAGAAAATTGCCGTGTTCGAGAGGTGTCTTTAAAAAGGTGTGGTTGATAGGGGCGCAGATAGCGCCGTTAGCGGGGTGGGGGGGGTTCGTTCTCTCGGACTATTGAGGGGGGGGGGGGTTCTTAATGCGGGAGTATTGAGGGGACGGGAGGGGGGTCCATACTCCAGGAGTATTGAGGGGGGGAAGGGGTTCATACTTCAGGAGTATTGAGGGGGGGGGGTCTATTCCAAGACTATTGAGGGGGGGGGGACTCGTACTCTTGGGGAGGGGGGGGGGTCTCTTTGGGAAGAAGGAGCAGGAGAAGGAGTAGTAGTAGTAGTAGTAGCAGAAGTAGTAGTAGTAGTAGTAGTAGTAGTAGTAGTAGTAGTAGTAGTAGTAGTAGTAGTAGTAGTAGCAGTAGTAGTAGTAGTAGTAATAGTAGTAGTAGCCTTCGTTGTTGTTCCCTCCCTCTTGAAAGAACAACAACCCCGCCTCCGCTTGTTGTTCCCCGCATTCTTGAGAAAACAACACCCCCCCCGGGTTGTCGTTCTTACCCTTCCCTTCCCCTTTTGCAAACCTGCCAAATGATTCCTGCTCAGTTGTGTTTCCTTGCTTTTCAACCCCTGAAGTGTTTGCATGTGGCTCTTTCCTTCTTGTGTTGGCGAACGCTTTTTTTCCTGGCGGCTCGAAACAAGGGGGGGTTGAGCCTAAGACAAGCGGGGGGGTTGGGGGGGGGGCGCAGCCCCTCCCATTTGCAAGCCTTCCATCGTCATGATAAACTGTACTTGCTTGCTTTAGCCCCCCTAATGCGTTTGCATGTGGCTCTGTCCTTCTTGTGTTTTGGCGAACACGCTCCTACAACGCTGTTGTTGTCCTTCTTCGAACTTGACCCCCTCCTCCATATTGGAATATAACCCCCCCCTCCATACTGCTGAACTATGAATCTTCCCCCTCCATACTCATGGAGTATGAACCCCCCCTCCTGGACCATGAGTCTCTAGGGGCGGGGGGTGCGCCTGCTGCTGCTGCCACTACTACTACTACTACTACTACTACTACTACTACAACTGCTGCTAAAACTACCACTGCGCGAGGGTTTGGTATCGATGATACTGTATGTGTGCTCACCTCACCGAGCGTATTGATGTAGTTGTGGTCTGCCTTGTAGACTTGTAGTTGATCTGCAACACCCTGAGCACTCCCTGCAGGCAAACTCGGTGCGATTGTTTTCTCGCCCGGGGGTGCGCGACGAGTTGTCTGTGCAACGGGAATGGCTCGAATCCTCTTGGTTGTAAACAGGCCACTAGCTTCTTGCTAGTACGGCAAAAAAGTTTACTATGCCGACGCATAATCTTGAGCCAAAGTTGCGTTGTGTGCGGAGCAATTATGATAGGCACCGTCGCATGGCCCGGGTTCCATGTGCAGGCAAGATAGACATGATGAGTCAAGGACCGGAAAACGGGGCCTTGCTCTATGTACATGGTAGACCATGACATTGTGCTCATAGCTCAGATTGCGACACCTACGAATTGGACTGGGCATCGAGGTCCGTTCGCAACTACTACTACTACTACTACTACTACTACTACTACTACTACTACTACTACTACTACTACTACTACTACTACTACTACTACTACTACTACTACTACTACTACTACTACTGCTTGCTACTACTACTACTACTACTACTGCTACTACTACTACGACTACTCCTACTCCTACTCCTACTGCTACTGCTACTGCTCCTGCTCCTGCTCCTGCTACTGCTCCTGCTCCTGCTCCTGCCCTACTACTACTACTCCTACTACTATACTACTACTACTACTACTACTACTACTACTACTACTACTACTACTACTACTACTACTACTACTACTACTAGTAATACGACTACTACGACTCATACGACGAATACGAGTAGCGCCGCATAGTACGACTAATTTGACTTATGCCACCACGACTACTCCGACTACGAGGACTATTACAACTACGACTACTTCTACTCCTACTCCGACTGCTACTCCTCCTCCTCCTCCTACTACTACTACCACTACTGCCACTACTGCTACCACTACTCATACGACTAATACGAGTTGTACGACTACTACGACTTGTACCACTACGACTACTGCTACTACTGCTACGACTATTACAACTCCTACTCCGACTGCTACTCCTGCGGCTCCTGCTACTACTACTAGTACTACCACCACTGCCACTACTGCCACTACTGCCACAACTACTACGGCTGCTACTGCTACTGCTACTGCTACTGCTACTGCTACTGCTACTGCTACTGCTACTGCTACTGCTACTGCTACTGCTACTGCTACTGCTACTACTACTACCACCACCACCACCACCACTGCTCCTGCGACTCCTGCGACTACAATCCTGCTGCCACTACTCCTGCGACTGCTGCAACTGCTGAAATTGCTGCTAGTACTGCTGATACCACCACCACCACCACCACCACCACCACCACCACACTGCGACTCCCACCCCACTTCCACTACCCCTACCCTTACCCCCACCGCTGCCGCTACCACTACCACCACTGCACGACGACTACTGCTACCAGCTACCACTACCTACCACCACCACCTAACTCCTGCTAGCTGTTACTCTTACCTGCTGCATGCTACTACTTGCCTCCTACTACCTACTCCTGACAACTTACTATTAGCTGCTACTAAGTAGACAACCACCACCACCGCCACTGCCATCACCACTAAAGTGCTGCAGCCAAGGTGCCCCGAGGAAGAGGGCCCGAAGCGCACTCGCAAGGGGAAGTGCGCAGACCTGGTGACATTGGAATTGTGACGACAGGGAGGACTCTTACAGCAAGCAGGCTTGATCTCAGTACTTGGCACGCCAGCTTGGCATCCTGAAAAAAGCTCTTGCCTCAGGCTGATCTCTTCAACATGAAACTGCTTGCCGGCTCACCAGCGACATGATACCGCGCGTGATGCTCTTTATGTATGGATTCAAGGGCGCCTTGCCTGCGCTTCTACGGTTGGGGCTCTAGAGAGGTCTGAGCACGAAGAGATGCAGATCGGAGCTCTCGGTTCCTTGCGTCGGCAGGCCAGACGTTTCCAGTTCCGCACTGTCTAGGTAGACCAGCACGGATCCTGGGTTTTCTGCCAGCCGGACACTCCCACAGAAGCACCTACTCAGCGTCAACCTGCAGCCTTTGCAATGAGGGTTGGGATTCTGCGCCGGGTGCAGGATCTGCGAGGTCCGAACCGTGGGCGTCCGTAATGGACAGGCTGAAGCCCACCAGCTCTTCCTGCACACAAGACTCAAGCTACTTGACCCAAAAGTGATGTGACATCACTCGGCGCCGCCCCCATCAAGCACATGACAGCAAAAAATCTAAGAAATGCCCGATCATCGATTGAAGCCCGGAGGCGAAAGGTCCCCGCAAAGTCAGGAGTCCGCCCGAGCAACGACCTAAAACGGACTCCTGACACTGGCACATTCACGTCCCGAGCCGACGCTGGCCTGTGGGATGTCGGCATCCTCTATGTCACCTAGGGCCTGGGGCACGTCAGTCAAGGTATCCAGCAACATCGGTAGCATCGGTAGCCTTAACGTGTACGGGCATGCAGCGTCTTATTGCTCAACTCGGCCAGCCTGCTCCAGCTTCTTGTCAAACACTTCCAACCAATCTCCAGTATATGCCAACCTAGTCGAAACGGTTCTTATGCTTCGCAAAGTGCTGACTTTGGCGATGCCTTCCGTGCTTAGATCACTGTGGGCAGAGAGTGTTCGGGGAATCCTGTCCGCTTGCGCCTGACCCATCCTCTCTCAGCTTCGCCACGGCTCGAAGACGAAAGACGCACAAATCAAGAGTCTGGGCCAGTCGCTCGAACTGAACGCCGGTCGCACGAAGACGGTCCTTACAAGGGTGGCGTCACAGCATATGGTCATATGTCGCCAATGTGGTTTCTGTGCACCATCAGCGCATGCCTCCACCGGAGCCTTTGCCCTCTCTGTCAGAGGTGGCTCTGCTTCAGGTCCAGCCTCGTTCTCTCGAGTGTGCAGGCTGACACAGGTCTCTTCAATACTGGAAGCAGAAGCGGGCTCTTTCGGCCAAGCCCGAGGAAAGGGGACAGAGGAAAGTGCACAAACATCCTGCAACCTTCACTGTCTCAGGACAGTCGGCCTTGGTTCTGTCTGGTGGCAAGGCGACAGGCCTTGGATGTACGGCAGGTTCTGAAGTTGACTGAAGTTTCTTGATATGCCCAGAAGGTCGAGAAGCCCTCTCTATCTCTTTTCTGCAAAAGTGCAATCCGTGCGAAGCGGCTGTCGTTAAACCGCAGATTCTATTCTTAGCTGCTGGCGTTGGTACGCGGGCAGGGCACCTTGTGCACACATGCCGACACAGAGTTTATCACTCGTGCCAACTCGGGAATGCAACGCGCCGTCAGCGAGGCTCAAGTGGCAAGCCAAGTTGAGTCTCACGCGTGTTTTCATCACGCTGAGCCTGGTCAAAGAAACGGCCGCGTATCAGCAAACAAACTGCTGCCCATCGAGGGCTGCTACCAGTACTGTCTGGCTGCGGAAACTAGTCTGCCACTATTGCCCACCTCTTGGCCGCCGTGGTCCTCGCTGCGCCGACGACAGCGGGCAGGTGTCGCTTCGGCCTGCATTCGGAAACAGCATGAGCTCTGCGCACCTCAACATGCCGAGTCAGGAGCTTGACTTGCAGAGTCTTGCAGAACAGAAGAACAGCAATGCGGACTTTTGTGCAATGCAGGGCATGCGGCGAGCAGTGCGCAAAGTTGAAGTGGAGATAGGGCAAGACGCAGACATTTACTTCCCCAGTGATTCCAATGATGATATCCAGTGTATGCCATGCCCTATCAGCTAGAGTCTAGAAATCAAAGGTCTGACAACACTCCAGGCTGGTTAAAAAACTGCTTGGATCAGGCAGTTTCGTTCAGCCAGACAGTCCAGTGAAAGTAGTAATACTGCAGCAAGTGTCTCCTGTCCTCCCCACACAGAGCGAATGTCAAGGCGGGATAGGTATCATGGGCACAGGGAGGTGCCGGACCCCTTGCTGCATGCTTTGGGACTCCTTGGGACTGCGGGTACAGCGTGGATGCGCAGCCTCTAGCAGCTGCGATCGCAAATGCAAACGCGCCGGAGCGCGAATTAGGTCTTCCAATTTGGATGCACCATGTACAACCATGCAGACAGTCCGAGTTTCGTCTCGAACTAATTTTTCACGACGAGTTCCACATGTCGAGGGAGGTCGGGTCTGAAAGCTTTGCACTAGCAGTCTGATTTGGGAACGCAGTTTCGTCTAAGCATGGATAGATGCTCAGCTGGTACTGAGGGAAATGCCGGGGTCGACGCTGGTTCCTTTTTGGGTGGGATTTTTCAGCCTCCGCGCATGGCACATGGATTGCCTCTCGCCAAAAAACTAAGCCAGTTCAGCGCTGCCAGTTCGATGAAAAACAGCCTGCAACAAACCGGGCCCCTGGATTCTGGATGCCTGTAGTCAAGCCGGTCGCCGTGTGTGTATTTTCAACCTGGAGCTTCTCCGGCCTTCGACTTGAATTCCCGCAAGCCTGCTGGGGTATTGCCTCGCATTGCCTCACCATCCTCAGCGCTCCAAGATCAACAAGCAACGTCGGTGATAGCAGCCGCCGACTGAAATTCACACACTTCTGTGCTGCAAACGTCCATGCCGATCTGGGAAATAGCTCCACATGTCCTCCCGGACGTGCGAGAAATGAGCCGATCAGAAATAATGTTAATAGTTTGAGCAACTGAAAAGAATGTCAATCAGTTCATGCGCATCCTTAGTCTCTTGATGCGTGCCTGAGAGAAGTAGGAGGACTGAAAGTGGTCTTGCGAGTGTGTCGAATAGGATTGCCGCATAGAGGACCTGGACCGGAGCTGACACCGACAGTCTTTGCCGAAGCGCCTTCAAGGTACTCCAGGAACGCTCTCGACTCATCCTCGAGGTCTGGGCATTTGCTCCTCGTGTGGATGTACCCCGAAAAGCTGGACAGGCGACGCCTCCAGAGCAAACGGATGGAAATGTCAATTGTGTATAGACGACCCCGCCCTTCACACGAGGGTCCCAGTCCAAGATACACCCTGGTCAGACATTTGCAGAGAAGGTCCCCCGCCTGATCCCCCGCTGCTTCTGCTGACAGAAGCATTGATGCCTCAGTTTGCTTGCAGGCTTAGTATGGCTTGGTATGGCTTGGTGCTGCTATTGCTGCTGCACCTGCTACGACCGACCGCCAAGGCCGCAGCCGGCGACAAAGGCATTTGTCCCGGTGCCGGTTGGCCATCCGGGGACTGAGTTCGAGGTCACGGAAAGCACTCTGGCTCACATCAGCTACTTCTCTAGCTTCACGTGGTGATATCCACGATGCACTGCAACATGCATGCAAAGGATGTTCAGGTAAATTCAGTACTGGACCATGTTGGTTCGCGTTGGCGTCGGCAGGGCCTTCCATTGGCTTTCCAGAACTGATGTGGGAGTTTCCGAAAATTAGGGGTGCCTTTTTGAGGTCCTCATAATAAGGATCCTACTACTTCGGGTACTATATTAGGGTCCCGTATTTTCGGAAACTCCCATAATATGCATCGAGGGCGGAGCTTGGGCAGGCCTGGCCTGGTCACGAGATGCCTCCATGGGGGAAAGCATCGCGGCCTTGGATTTCGCAGCACAGCTGACTCGGCTGCACCCAGATCTGTTCGGACCCGATCGCGCCTCGGGACCGGGAAAACTGAGAGAGAGAGAGAGAGAGAGAGAGACAGAGAGAGAGAGAGAGAGAGAAGAGAGAAGAGAGAAGAGAGAAGAGAGAAGAGAGAAGAGAGAAGAGAGAAGAGAGAAAGAGCAAGAGCAAGAGCAAGAGGAGGAGGGGGAGGAGAAAGAGAAGGAGAAAGAGACAGAGAGCGAGAGACGCACAGAGAGAGACGGAGTGAGACAGAGAGAGAGAGACAGAGAGACAGACAGAGCCAGAGCCAGAGCCGGAGAAGGAGAGAACGAGAAGGAGCAGAAGGATAAGGAGAAAGAGAGGAGTAGGAGGAGGAGCAGCAGGAGAAGAGGAAGGGAGGGAGGGAGGGAGGGGGGGAAGGGAGAGGCGGAGAGAGGGAGAGTGTATGTGAAAAGGTGCCTCTCAGGCAGACAGACTCTCAGGCTCCCCTCAAAGACTCAAAGACTCAAACCACTCAAACACAAGAAGAATGGGCATCTCACACAGCGATGTTCGGAGAGAACCGTAAGGGCCATGCGAGGGTGGGGACGGCGTGCCCATAAGCCTGCCTCATGTCCTTGCAGGAAAGAGGCAGATGCGCAGCTCTCGTGGCAGTGGCCCCTAAGCGGTTTCAAGTGCCCCCCTGGCTGTTTTGTGGAGCCAAGGTTGGGGCCCGGGCCTGGTCGTGCTTGCCGTCCGCCGCCCCAAGCAGTCCGACCTTTCGGCACACGCGATCTCTCAACAAAACGAGGAATGCTTCTTCGTCTCAACAAGCTGAAACAGAGTTGAAGCTGCCCCGATCTGAGGAGCCAAGACCGCAGCTGGGCTCGGCATCGTAGCACCAGGCGACGGCTGAGGAGCCTCCCAGGTCTGAGTCCCTCCGAGATGCAAAAACCGGCGAGCTGCACGAGCCCCTGCAGCCGGCCTGGTCACTGAAGCGATCACTCTTTTGGCAGGCCCCCTCGCTGGAGCAGGAGTGGACATAAAGAGAGCTCACTAATGACGGAAAGTGCACTTTGAAGACGCGTTGTTGAGATGGGCCCTTGCGTGGCCCTACTGCGCGTGCAAGCCCAATAAAACAGAACCTCCTGTTTGTCACAGCCAGGGAATTTACAAAGGGCTCTCTCTTCCTAGCTCTTAGTGGGAAACCTCGGCTAGCCCGTCCAGCGGAGCCAGCAGCGTCGCCTCAGCATGCAACCCGGCGGTACTGGCGCAGAGCTTCAGGTGAATTCAGCTGAGGCAGGGACAAGGGACGGGGTTCGACCATGAGTGTGGCGATGCCCCTGACAATAACCCCATATTGCGTCTTCGATCGATCTATCTACCCATCCATCTTTCTATCTATCTTTACATATCTATCTTTACCTACGTCTAAGCATGTGTGTCTGTTCGTGTCTGTGTGTGTATGCTTGCATGCACGCAGTATGTCTGCATGGCTTTATCTATGTATTCGTTGACTCTCGCAAGTCGCACAAGGTATGCGAGGCTTCACAGTTACCGCTGACTCGCTTCAAAAACAACTGCTCGCGCATCTCCCACCCATACAACCCTAAACCCCAGCCCCACAAAAACAAAAGACCCTAGCCCTGCCATGTATTCACGTAATGTATGGGTATCTGACGGTATGTGTACGTATACATAAACTTGAAGACTGCAAAGACCAAACAATGCACTGGCCTGCTGGTCATACACCTCCTCTGGCTGCCGCAACAGAGAAGCCTGACAGAACGGAACTGCACCAGTTACGCTGTACCGCCATGGCATCCTCAAGAATGCGCCACATCTCGGGCGTGGTGAAGACGCCAGAAGGAATGCCCGGGGGCTGGGCCAACGAAGGCTGCGCGCTGGTTCCCGAGGTCCCCTTCAATGCCTCAAGAAATCGGAAGAAAGCCCGGTCACAAGACCCCTCAATCGAAGCGGAGCGTGTGAACAGCTTCACATGTCGTGCTTGCAGACCAGAAAATGCAACATTTGCCCCATGAGTCTCGCGACTTGGCGTCAGACGGGAGAAAACTGTATGGGCACTTGTCCTGCGTGCGAGCCGCAAGCCTGGAAGCTTTGGCGGCTATAACCAGTCGTGCTCGGTGCTTGATGGACTGGCCTCATGGAAACTGCCATCCATTGGCAAAGGTTGAGCCTGAGCTTGAGAAAGTGCTGCAAGCACGACTCGCCTGCTCGGGGTAGCCTCAGCCCTAGGAACCGCACGAGGCCACCGGCGCCTGCCTGAGAGAAGGATGCCTCCCCCGAGGCACTCTGAATTGCCCTGAATCGCACCTCTCTCAAGATTCCTCCCTCTTTTTGGAAGTGATGGACTTTCAACTTGCCTTCTCCTGGTAGCGGTTTTCGACGGGTGGCAGCATGGATGCCTCAAGCTGCATGACGCACCACCGTGGTGGTTCGCACCGTTTCGTACCCAGGCAAGTTCCACTGCAGTACACCATGCAGTCAAATTCTCAGACTCGCGCGAGTGAGGGCACGCGGCTATGCTTGACCTGTCGCAGGAGCGGTAGGCCCCACCCACGGAAGCAGAAGCATTCCTTCGCAACCACGACTTAGCAGTCTAGCACTCGAAACGCATCAAGGAACGAGTTTCAATGTTCATGGGGCATTACGAAAAGCGTCTGTGCATCTCGGCTTGATGCTATCGTGCCCCGGCTTCTTCAATACCAAGGCTCCTCCAGCTTGCGATTGCGCATACTGCGCATGAGGCTGAGAGGTGTTCATCTGGCTTGTCAACCAGTCTAGAAGCTGGTTGTCGAGCACCATGTCGCTGCAGAACTGGGCTATGCTTCTAGCAGGATACGATGCCGCAATAGCTCCATGCACCCAAAGAAACGGCGGCTTCGAACGAAGCAAGCGCAGCACACAGTCGGCCTGATCCGAAGCATCGCCGTGCGGCCGCAGAGGCGAGTGATGCACTGCCTGACTCTGGCAGCAAGCAGCCCCCGGCAGGTCTTGATAAGGCACTGGAATGTCTACTTTGGGCTCAGTTTCGCTGGACTCTGCGGCATGCTGAGGCTCTGAGAAGGACACGGGAAACTGTCCTTGCCGCATGTGGCCGTGAAGTGCCTGCTGCAGCATACAGTTCACTGCGAAACTACTTGCCAGAGTCATTCGTCTGAATGCTGGGGATTATGCGGGTGAGCCCATTGCGTGAGGCGGCGACATAGGCGAAGGAGGCACCTCGAGCGTGGCCCCAATAAAATGAATAGGTGCGCGCTCTAGTTAGCCCTCAGACGACACCAGAGCCCCCTGCACTGCACATGCTGCCGTTGGAAAGATGGCCCCGCAGCTGCCTCAATGGGGCCTGAAGCTTGCACTTGCTCAGTCAGAGTTCTGAGTGAGCGAGACAGCTTCCAGTATGTGGATAGACATGTGCCGGCCCAGTGCTGCAAGAGGGCCTCAGACATCTCGCTCTGCGACACCTTGGGATTGCGAAATGTTCATGTTCAACTCCTCACAAACGACACAGTGGCCGCGACCAGGTGTGGCAGGCCATCGGTGACTGACGGAGATGCCTCCACCTAGGAGATCTAGGAGCAAGGACGCGGACCGAGAGCAGGTCCAAATCTCTCGCGTGCAGGCTGTAGCCTCTCCCTGCGAATCCAAAGTCGTTCCGACATTCGAAGCCCTTCCGATCGATAAACCTCTGTTTTTTGCCTCTGCCTACTGATGACCCGAAGCCTTCCCGTCAGGTTTCGTCAAGGCCAAGGCACCGGAGAAGCAGCGGGCGAGCGCTGCCCGCGGCGAGAGGCACGAGGCCGCTCCGCTGGCTGCGGCTTTTCCAGGCCAACCCTACCAGTGCAGCTGCTTTCACATTGTAATATGCAAATTTAAATTACTATAGAGATTAATAGATATAAAACTAATTGAGAAATTAATGGCTCGGTACTTGGGGTAATCATGCAGCGATAGCACCGACAATACTCCAGAGCGTTCATGGCCAGGTAGATCCCCACTAGCCACATGCTGAACTTCAAAGCAACGGGAAGCATCGCGTGTGGATAGCCGGTACTTTGCCGAACACGCAATGGTTCGATGCAGCCGAATCACGCGGCGAAGAGATCCGTCACCCTGTCATCTGCATCTTCATGGCCGACTCGCTGGAAAAGCCTCCACACTCCCCGCGAGACCCATTCCAAGCGAAAGAGCTGCGCTACCCCAAAGAGAGGATCACACACGGGCAAACTGATGCTTCTCACATCAACCCCATGGATGCTGAAAGGACCTGGGTTTCTTGCTGGCTCTTCAGAGGCATGGCAAGGTTCAGGGTCCGAGCTGATGACCAGGATCCACGTGCAGATGTGCAGTGCTCGCTCGCTTCAACTGAACTTGGAGACCTTGAGGCACCCTCGCTTGAAACCACACACCTCGAGAGGATGCTGGCTGTGATCGCAGATGGTCGGAGTCCACAGGACACCATCTCTGCGAAGAGGCCGCAGCCTGCGATGGGCGTTTTCAGTTCTGTCGACGGCAGACAGTATATACCGTCCAATACGTTGTCGAAGTCTGCTTGCGCCATGCGTCTTGTCTTTCAGTTGCTGGGAGGCAACAGCACTGAGGAGGACTTGAGACTGGTGATAGTGGGGGAAGTTCATGGACAGCATAGTGTGGAATTCAAGGCCAGGCATGCAGAAATGGAATTCCTGAGAGCTCTCATTAAGGCAACTAGGATGAAAAGACCGTTAGAGCTTGTCTGCTGTCATGCATTGCATCGCCGCCCAACAGCCACACATTTAGCGGCCTGCTTTCCAGTCGTCTGCCTTCACACAGCCTTCGCGGGGGCTAATGATGCACCAAGTCTAAGGCCCTACGGTTTTGCCAGGGTCGTCACACGATACCAGAAACTGCTGGTCTGCAAAACATAAACCAGCATACAAGACTTATCTCGGCTAACAGGACTTGTGAGTCAGTTCACTAGATAGTGTTGTCTGTCAAATGCGGCAGCTGAAAGCTCCTTCCATGAGCGTATTGTACACGAGCTCGTCGCAGCGAAGGCGTCGCTCTTTCATGTCATCGAACATGCAAAGCGCCTGAGCAGGGATACACGTCAAGACGGTCCTGGGATGGCTTCCACACCGCGGCCGCGGCCTTCAGCAGCTCTCCATTCTGGCAGTAGCCTTTCAGGACCGTCGAGTAGCCTGGGTCACACTTTCTGTGCAGTCGCTCAGGGCTGAGGCCTGCGAGTGGCCAGTCCGTGCCAAGATGCTGATCAAGTCTGGAACGATTTCCATCTCCGTCTGCACCATCTGCTCGAGAATGTTCTGGCAAGGCAGGTGAGCTTAGGCAGGTGCAGCTTGTCTCTCAGTCTTTCGGTTTGCTTACTCGTTAATTGACTGAGCGTTTCAGCTGACCCCAATGTCTCAAGCAACACACGTGCCTCTGCGGACACAATGTCTCCGCATTTCACACAGGCTTCCAGGATGGAGTTGTACGTGATGGTGTTGTAAGGGACCTGAGTACATGAATTCTCCCACGTGCTTGGCTTAGTCACTACGTGTAGGTCACGCTGCAGCACATGTGTTTGGTCCATGAAGCAGAACACATCGCAGCAACCCGAACCACACTGTCACAGAAGGTTGCCCGAACTCCGGGGTTTGTCTGAGGGCCTGGCACCTTCCTCTCGCATTTCATGGAAAAGCTCCAGCGCATTCTCCAGCTCCTTGTGTAAGCCATAGCCTGGACAAATCTTCAGACGGGCAAATGCGAAGCCGTGCGCCGTGAAACTCTGTCTGACAAGGCGGCCTTTGATCATAGTGGTGTAGAGGATAGTGTTGCGATGCTTGCCCGTGGCACCTGGGCTTGCAGCTTGCTGGGGACATGCGAGCCGTGAGTTTGCTAGGAAATGTATGCCGGCGTGTGCCTTTCCAGCAACCCGCCCTGAGTACCATGTGCAGCCACAGGACGCATTCCTCGGAATACCTCCACGGCCTTCTGGAGGTTCCCACACTTGACGCACGCGTCCAGCATGCAGCCGTATGTCACTGAGTTGGCCAATCCTCTCTGCTCCTGACCAAACTTAGCTTGACTGATAAACACAATGAAGCGCCCCAGCAACCCGCTGGCCTCCATTTCGTCCCAGGCCGCCAAGACCTTCTCCAAGTCACCAGCTTGGCCATAAGTTTTCACCAGAATGCCTGACAGCAAGCAGGAAAGTCCGGCGGCTAGGCAGCAGCGGCTTACATTTCGAGAAAGCCAGGAGCAGGCTTGCCTAGTGTGATAGGCGATGGCTTTACTCTCAGCTGCCGCATCCAGCTGACACAGCTCTCGAGCCGTTTGAGGTCCTGAAGCAGAAGCAACGCTTCTTGACGATGCTGGATTCGGTGACCGTCGTGTCCACTTTGTGCAGTCCTTGAGGCGGCAGCAAGTGTCCAGGAGGGCATTGAACAAGACCTCGTCCACATCCTCGGCAGGGTGGGCGGGATTGATTTGCCGGGCTGGAGTCGGATCGGCCGGCCTCCGGTTGCATCTCGATGAATCGCTCAACCAAAGCGATTCCCCTGTAGGCTCTTGTTGGGTCGAGGTGAGCTTGCCCGTCACCCACGGTCTTCATCAGCATTCTGGAAACCGTGTACCTGTCACCGCCCATGCGCTGAACGCACCAGCACACGGTCCAGTCCGATCAAAATGTGCTGGCGCACTTGTCCGTTGTCTTTCCGTCTGCATGCATCTGCTCCAAGGCATCCCAAGCCTCATCGACGCCTGAATTGGTGCTGGCTGCCTGCCTTCGGTCAAATCCCAATGCTTAGCTTTGACCCTGCCTCTTCGTCGCATGACCTCCTCCAGTGCGTTTACCGGAGTCTTCACGGTGGCCCGACCGCCACGAAGCGGAGTGGGCACCTGCCATGCGAGCTGCCCAAATATCTGAAGATCCCGCGAGTCAGTGAGTCTCTGCTCTGCGGCTCTGCTCTCCGAGCTGCTCTGCGCCTCCCTCAAGGCGTCTTGAGCTCCTTCTTCCTCTGCGCGGCTTTCCTTCGTGGCAACCCGTCCGCGGCCGCTGCGACCCATCGCGTGCAGGCCTCAAGTTAGACGAGAATTTGATCCTACTGACATGCCGTGCAAGTTAACGCGCGCGGTCAAATGTGTCGTACCAAGATCAAGCTCAGACCGCCGCACTTGGAGAGTTCGGCGGACGGATCGCGGTACTGCTTCTAATCATCTACTTGCAGCTAAAGCTGCGAGCCAAACAAGCACGTACAAGCACACAACCCCTTGAGGTTCAGAGCTCGAAACCAATTCTTGTAGTCATGCCCTGAGTCCCGTTGCAAAGATGGCACTGGCACTCCCCCAGCCTCCAGCGGCCTCTTGCAGTCACGCCGCTGGGGCAAGGGCTTGGTGTTCGAGCCCAGTTTTGGCTGAGCCCAGCCTTCAAGAAGCCAAAACGAGACATAGCCACATAGCCACATGACAGCTCAGGAATCAAGAGCCTCCGTCGGCGTCCAACTCGGCCGTGGCAGCCGGCATCTCATCGGGGCGGCCGCTGGCCCTCCACTGAAAGATATTACAAATACAGCACACTATGGGATGAGTACAATCGCCATTCTCTGGGTAACAGCGCTAGCACCCCACAAGGTCTTGAACGAAGGCTGTCAGAGCAGAACTGATCGAGTTGTCGGACTCACGGGCAGGAGCCTCTGACCGGCACATGCAACATTGCCAACAGGTGCAAGCGACTCACTTACTGCCACGCATCATCGACACTTGCGGCAGAGGTCCAGCTCCCAAGTTTTGCAACTCGCGCTGCCCCGGAAAGCTGTGAGCTACGTGAACCCAGAAGTCGAACCAAAAAACTCTCCCTGCTCATGGTGCGAAATCAAGACAGAGATCCATGGTCCGAGCGCCATGCCACATCGAAACTGGATTATTCCCGCCTGAAACTTCCACCTAATCAAAAGAGTCGGACATGGAGCTCGATCTGCCACCCTCGCCCCGGGTGGCATCCCCGGTTGAGAACCTTACGAAGGGTTCCCAATCCATTTTCATTTGTACATGCCACTGGCCAAGACTCGAGAACGGAAGGATCTTGATCTTTCTGAATCCATGAACAAACGGTATGGTTACGGTCTGGCTCTGTCCAGTTCTGCCCGAAGAAACAGCACGACCTGCTCAGCCGATGCCAGCTCCTGCACAAACGCCCAGATTCATGAAGTGTTCCCTCAGCCCGGCGCACGGCCCCGTACCTCCAAACTCCTCGTTCTCACATCTCACATCCCCATCACATCCAGGACCCTCTCCACGAGATCCTGCGACGACTCTACTGACCTAGTGTCTACTTTCGAACACGGGGGGGAAACTGCAAGCGCCTCCTTCGTCCCAGATGTGGGCAGGCGCAGTGTCTTCAGCCAGGCGACCAGCGGTGCCTGGAGGCGAGCGATGGCCGGGGCGAGGGAGGAGGCCACGGAAAGGCGAGCGCCCTGGCTCGCCCTCGCCCCCGCCTTCAGCTGCTTCTGCAGCCAGCGCCGGAGCTCGGGCCCCGAGCGCCTGAGAGCAGAGCGGAGCAAAGCGGAGCAGAGGCCAGGCGAAACTCGGCGAAACCGGGTCCGAGCCCGAAGCTTCTGAATCTCCTCCTCGAAATCCGGGCTGTGAGGGCTCCTAGGGAGCCCGGAACTCGAGGTCGCCTTGGGCTCGCAGGCCCCTGGTGCCCCGCCCTTGTCGCGGCCTCAGGACCTCAGGAGCCGACGGACTCGCTGTCCGAACTGCTCGGGGACCAAGCCTTGGCTTCTTGGCCACAACTCACGGCATGCTGCGGCCATGACAGCGCCGCAAGCAACAGCAGCAAAGAAGAGCACGCCAGAAGCAGGAGCACCACCTCCACCACCACCAGCACTTACACTAGCGCCGTGGGCGGTAGCAGTAACACCAGCAGCTCGGCTCCCTAGCAGGACACAGATACGGCAGCTCTGGCTCGCAGCCGAGGCGATGGCCATGCATGTAGCCAGCCGGATCTCAGTTCAGAGGCCAGAGGCATGTCGGCACTCGGCATCAGTCTTCCAAAGAAAATAATGGACCTCCTCCCGCTGATGCACACCGCACACTACATATACATTGACGTTTCAAACCTACCTCAACTCGGCACGAGCTCGGACAGCGCCTCCAGCTTCGCGGGGCGGGACTGGCCGGCTTCATTCGCGGCAGCAACGTGCACCTGAGGATTTCTCGTGCACTTCGCGAGACAGCCTAAGCCCAAAAAATCCCGAAAGATCCCCAAAGCATGGCCCGGCACGGTCGCTGTCGGTTGCTTCCAGAGGCTGGGCATCTTTTGGAGGTCGTCTTCCTTTGTGCGGCAGGCGATGGCACACGGGACCTCCAAAAACCTGAAGTTGGCGAAGCCGCTGCGGTATTTTCCTCCTCTTTTCTGCGGCTCCAAGCAAGGCAGCGCGCTGAAGATGAGCTGCTTCATCTTTGCACAGAAAACTGTGCGCTCTCTGGCTGTCACAGTGTGCCCTGGGCTGAACACCAGCTGCCGCATCCGCTCCGAGGCATCATGTGCTTCAAGGACCTGCGCTGGAGGAGGCTCCTGCGGTTTTGAGCTCCCCACACCATGTACGGGGGGCACTAACACACTAACACTGAGCCAGTCTTCCTCGACCCCCGAGTTGCCAGTGCTGGTGACTTCTGAAACTGCCATAACTTGTGTGTTGAAGTCAGCCGCGGGATTTGCCACGTGCCACAAATAAAGCATGGCTCCGGTTTCCAGCACGTTGTCTGCAACAACAGTGGCGCCAGGACGCAACTGGCCCAGCATGGCGAGGTCTTGGCATGTCTCCATGTACTGCGAACCCCAGAAATCCATGAAGACCATCCCGAACGATCCTTCAAGAGTCGGGAGCAAGTTGCGGCTATGGCCAGTGCGGATGTCAACTCGCGAGGCCACTCCGGAGAGCGCCATGAAAGGTCGGGCAATGGCTACCATCGTGGGATCGCTCTCTAGGCTCGTGATCCGAACATGCTCTGCCAGAGCTTCTGCCAAGCGCAAGGTTGCATACCCGCAGAAAGTACCAATCTCAAGCACTGGACCCTCTCCAGAACCTGCCGCGGCAGCAAGCAAACAGTCGGCCTTGCTTCCACCTGCAAACTTGGACCACATCCCTTCCTTTCCAAAGAGCTGGCTGTGGGCCTCTACTGCTTCGCAAACGGAAGCGGGATTGCCGGGCTGGGCTTCCCTGAGAACGTATCGAAGGAGGCTCAGCTCCCGCGCGTGCGGGCGCTTCGCGGGCATCTTCGGAGGCTCACCCGGCCCCAATGGAGGCAGAGTTGGCAGATAAACCATGGGTCGCTTTCGAAGGTTTGCCTGCAAAGCCAGTGCCGCCCGGCGACTCAGCACCGTAGCCGCCGTGGGGTTTGCGGGCACGGGGCAATCCAGAAGCTCCCACAGCAGCTCCGACGCCTCGGAGCCCCTGCCACGAGCAGAAAGCCTGGCGGCAAGGCCAACAGGAGCCAGCGCGTGCGCGAGTTGCAAAAGCTCCTCGTGGCTTGAGTCGTCGTGGCCTTCGTTGCCCGTTTCTTGATAGTCTACGCCGAAGCCGACAAGCTGGAGCAAGGCAAGCTCCGTGCACACGTCAGCTTCCGTCTCCCTCGTATCGCTTTCGCAGGCAGAAAGGAGTGGGGTCAAGCATGCTGCGATGGCCTGTAGTGCCCTCGTCCGTTGCAGCCTTTTCAAGGTGCCCCTGTCGAACTGCGCAGCCACATCTACCAAACCCTTTCCGCACACGTCCTCCAGCATGGAGTCCAAGACTTCTAGGGCATTCTGCATTCGCGCAGAAGCCACAAAGCCAAGAATGACAGGGCTAAAGTCAACAGGCTCCCGCGACAAACGCAGCCGCGGCATCTCGTCCAGCAGCTGGAGACTGAGATCGACGCCTGGGCCAAACTCAGCACCTTGCAAAGCTGCATTAAAGGTGACCCGGGTCGGGCGGCAGGACAGGGTTCCTAGACCGCGAAGTAAGCTGTGCACCAACTGCCATTCACCCGTGCGGGCCGAGGCCCGAAGCAACTCGTTCTGAGTGATGATGTCAGGATGCAGGCCAGCTGCCGACGCACCAGCTGCAAGCTGAAGGCAACTGCGCCAGGCATGACCCCGTCTTAGTGCCGAAAGTGCGACATTGTAACTTCGCAGTTGAGGCTGCAGGCTCTTCTCGACCGTTGCAACAAGTAAGCTTAACGCTGATTCCCAACGCTTCCCGATTGACAAAGCTGAAATTAAGGAAGTATACGTCACGATGTCTGCATCCAGACTGGCAGCGGCTGCAACCGAAAGCAGGTGCTGGGCATGCTCCCACTGCCCGGTGTCTCCCAGCGCACTGATCATAACATTGAAGTCTGCTAGAGACGGAACAGGACCTGTGCGAAGCATTTCTGCCAAAAGGTCCAGGGCCGACTCCCAGCGACCTGCTCGACTGCAAGCCGTCATGGCAGCATTGAAAGTAATCCGGTCCGGCTCCAGCAGTGCTTCCCGCAACGTCTGCTGCAACCTCAGGGCGCAGCTCCAGCGAATGGCCCGACCCATCGTGGTGATCAGGGAATTGTAGGTAACAAGATCTGCAGTCGCTCGTGGCAAGCCACTGAAAAGCTGCAGTGCCGCTGTCCATTGCGAGCCTTTCTCACATGCAGCAAGGGCTGTGTTCTGGATAATCATGTTCGGCTGGATCCCCTTTCCGATCAGATCCTCCAGCAGCTGGAGGCACGACTGCCACTGGGCTGCTCTAGAACAAGCACCCATGCAGGCACCGAAAGTAAAGTCGTTTGGCCGGATCTGCAATGGCTCTAACTGGGTAAGAATATGCACGGCCAGCTGCCACTGCCTGGCTTTGCCCACTGCATTCAACTTCCGCGTCCAGCCGGTGATGTCCGGAGAGTTGCTTGCAGTTCTTGCCATACTTTCCCGAGAAAGTAAAATCGTGCGAGCTTCACATGGAAAGGAAGCAGGACAGGCTCTGGATTCTAAGAAAGACTTCAACCACATCTTACGGACGAATGGCGGTCTCTTGCTTTTGACAGCGGTATTGGCCTCACAGAACCAGAAGGGCCCCACGATGACATGAGCCCATAATCAGAAAGCGCGTCCGGCTCACTTCTTGCTTGCTTTTGGCGCAAGTTGACCTGCCAAGTCCTGTACAGTCGTAGATAGCAGGATTCGCTCCGAAGATTTCCATTCAATGCTGAAAGCAGCATTTAGGTGCAACACCATCCAGAGCCTCGGGCCCCCTCAACATGTAGAAGCAAAAGTACAATGCCACTACTCTGCAGCTGCTCAGCGAGGATCAACAAGGCGAGTCACAGTTGAGGGTTGAGTTGCCACAGGCGACAAGAGACTGTTGAGCCACCTTTTGGGCGAAGAGAAACACCCTGCGCCAAAGCCAGTGTCAACAGGCGGTGGCCTTGCGCAGGCTGCTTCCACATCTCCGGTCCATAACGGCTACGTAAAACCAGATTAGATGAGCCGCGTTGCAGCGCAGGTTATCACCTCGAGCCTGTGCTCTTGCACTTTACATTCAAATTCTCGAGGGGTGAAACCTTGACACAAGCTGCGCACTGCAAGCGGTGGGAGGTTCCTGTGTGCCCAACACTGGGACTATCCAAACGCTATGTCTTGCGCCAGGAGTTGTAGGTGAAAAGCTGGGACAGGAGCTCCATTCGAAGCAAGAGAACTTGTTCAAAAGGAAGCCGCCAGGCTTCGGGATGCCCAGGCTTCCGAGCCCTCCCCCAAGCACACTGACTGGCACTAGCAAGGAAGGCTCGAAAGCCTGAACTGCCTCAAGGCCAAAATGGATCGCCGATAGCACCGATGTTTGTTGTGCACTTAGACTTGTGTCTGCAATCCACACTTCAGAATGAATCGGTTGGGAAGCTCGTAAAGATTGCCGCCACACTACAGAAGACTACTCAAAGATTGGGACCTCGCATTCAGTAAGGGCATGAACAAACAACGGGTGCATCAACCAGTGCATGAGTTCAACATGCAGTTGAATACAGAATGCAACGTGTCCGGTCTTCGCCCAAGGAGCGAAATTGAGATCGAACCCGCTGCAAAGAAATCACCGGTGAAGTACCTTCGGCTAGATGTGCAAGACCTTAGAGGCAGCGCCACAACGGAAACTGCGCAGTCGATCGCGAAGGACATAGCTCAGTCTTGCATTCATTCTCTTCGCGATGTTAATCACTCACTCCTGGTGGGCTAGCCGGGCTGCCCCAGCCAAACCTCTAAATCATGTTTCCAGATCGGCTATCATTTGCCGGGCTGCTTGGTTCTCTTCGCGCAGTGCCTCTGCAATCAAAGTTCTCGCTCGACTCGCATCTTTGCTCAGAAACCCGACGGATGCACAGAGTCGGCGGGCGAGCCTCTGGCACACGGCCACAGCAGTGCGGTCCACAAGTCGGCGAACACTTCCAAAGCTTCTCGGACCTAAGACGGAGGAAAGAGCGACACCTAAACATGACAAACGATGTGGTGCCTTGTGTGGTTCGTCAGGTTTGCACACGGTTTTGGAAAACTCAGTGGTTGAAACCCGGGGCGTCTGAGCCGTGATACGCATCGCCCTTTGCACCCTCATGCTTTGTTCTGCACCGCATCTTGCACACATGTTCAATAGACTGCATTGCAAGCCAGCGTCGGAATGATGACGGAGCCTGTCACCCACTGGTGCGGTACGAACATGCACTGAATGCAGAGAAACGGCTGACAACTGTTCTTAAGTGGATTGCAGGCCCGCCACTGCACTACATGCCCGTTTTGGCACGGGTCTCCGTAGATGTGCTTCAAACCCAGCTCTAGCACACTGGCCTCCCGACGTCGACGTTGAAGAATCCGATGCCGAAGACATCGTGCGCAGACTGCACAGCGACCCATCTTGCATTTGAGCCTATCTTGTGCAAATGTATGCTTTCGGTCATGGTGACAAGGACTCACAAGGCTTCAATATACTGTATTTCACTTTCACAATGTGTAACTCACACAAAGAATTCTGAGAAGAGATGCAACAAAAATGTGCACGTACAGTTCGAAAGCAGGCAGACCGTAGGACAGCCTGGCTGTCGGCCTGGCTCCAAGGGAGATCAAGTGCATTACATGACCCGACCTATTTCCACAAAACCTCGCTGCAGAAATGGAAGGCCTCGGTTGGGCATCTCGTGTCGAAGGTCGAAGAGACCTTATTGGACCCGGTTTCGCTGGTGGGTCTCGGATGCATTGACAAAACTGGCTTGATGATCATCTCTTTCCATCGCAACCTCACCAACACATGCCTTGTACGTGGCTCACGGCACCCAGAGCAATTCATCTTCGCCTTCGTGTGCTGCACTTCGCGCTAGAGCTCACCGCTGCCAAAGTGCGTTCGGCTCTCCATCCTTGCCTCCAACAACTTTCTGCTGTGGGACGTTTACAACGAAAACGCTAGGCTAGGGCTAACAGCTTCAGGATGGCGGTGCAGCCTTGCTCTGCCCGATGCCGTCGAACTGCATCAGTGCTTCGCTTCTACCAGCCTGGCAGGCACCGTCGCGTTCAGATGCGTGCGAGGACAACGGGGCCGCTTGAGCACTTCAGAAATATGCTCGGAAGCGGCACAGGCTTGTTCTGTACCCGTGCATGCCACGACATGCTGGCTATCCGGCTTTACAGACACCCTTCACAGCATGCATTCCAAGCGGCAGGGCACTGTGTCTTATCGTCCTACTTCACACCCGTCCGATTTGCACTTGGGGCCAGACGGCTGAAGCAAGAATTGAATCAGGCAATGCAACAACCGGCCTCTGCCCACTCGTGCTATCGACCAGAGCCCCCCACCAGGCAGACCAGAAGACCGAGGCTCTCACTGCAAGGACGAAACTCGTGAGCTCCTCCGTTGTCACGAACCTCCTCAGCTCCTGATGTCATGTGCAGAATTCAATTCCGTTTAAAACATCTGCGCAGAGAAGGCCTCGCTGTAGTCCGGCTCCAGGACCGTGATCGTGAGCGGCTTCCTAAGTCAGCAAGCTTCATTCAATCCGTCTGCCCGCTCTAGGTCCCTAGGTGCTGAGAATCCAACCCATATGCCGGGTCCAGGGCAGAAACTAGATACCTGCAACAGACAAGGTCTCTGCATACGCCCTGACAGCCACTATCAAGAAACGCAGGCATCTTGACAGCCCACCAACTCCGTCCGTCCAGCTGGTTGACTGCAAACACAAATGCAACTGTTCAGACCCTGACCTGCAGACCGGCGCAGTATCCTGCCTCGGAGGCCGTGCACCAAGTTCTGACTCGGGTGCTTGCCTTCACACCGCACAAGAGCCTGATAGCCACTGAGGCCCCATCACTGGAGGAGGCAGCCAACCTCAACGAAACATGAGCGGCGAAGATCTCTTGAGCTTCAGGGGCTCGTGGATCAGATCAGCCCTGTGTATGTAAATGAGGCGCTTGCACTCGAATTCCAAGTCAAGCGAAAGCGACGGCTCTCGGTCTCTCGTATCAGGAATTCAGTAGGAGGCATTCTGAGCTGCTGCCTGTCCCGGGCTCCAGACGGAGCTGGTAGCGCCGATGCCCGACTTTGCTGTCCAAGACCTCGTACCTCGCAGTCTCGCAGACACAGACTATGGTGCGGGGCTCTCTCCGTGTGCTGCGAGTAAGGATACTAAGAGCAAGCCTCAGTGACTGCGGTGCCATGGGAGGTTCAATCCGTGAAAAGCTCTTTTCGCAGATGTCCTCCAGGCGCTATCGGACGAGTGTTTGCACTCATACCCCTTTGTCGAGGCCTTCGCTTCACGGATGAGCTGAATGCTTCTTTCGACTCCATCCGTCGCCAGAACCTTTCGGAGACATAACTACGACAGTGCCGCAGATTTGATGGGGCCGCCACTTTGTCGGGATGGAGCTTTCGCATCAAGTTTCGATAGCTGCCTTGGATCTCGCGAACAATCTGGAATACTGGCACCACGCACAGATGTCGCTGAACCACCTGTTCGTATTATGGCAGAAGCTAAGGCTCCGACGCTGAACCGCTGCGGCATTGTGAGGGGCCTGAGGGGCCTCATGAGCAAGAACAAGAAGCCCAAGAAGTATGATGCAAGATGTCATGAAATGGCATCTTGCCACTGTCACCGAACGCAGACGAAGTACAGAGTTGCCGACCCCCAGCCCGAGCACGGCAAAGCCCCAGTCCGCCGGGGATCTGAAGTCCTCTTGCACCGAAACATGAACAAAAAAACAGTCACATCCCAGTACTTCAGCGGCTCCTCACGGCGCAGTGGCAGGATGCGGAGCACTTCCTCTTGAGCCTGGCGTGGCAAAGCTCGCACAGCACAGCACACCTGCAAAGGCTTGCTTCTGCCACATGCAGCTGGGGTGCTTCTCGATCCCGGCTCGAGCCAACCTGCAGGAGTTTCCCAGCTGACATCATCTGACATCGATCCACATATACCCACACGATTCCAGATTCCAGAGGAGCCATGGGCCTCGGCCGCTCGCGAAGGAGTCGCGACCGGGCGGTCGCGGGGCGGCGTGGGAAGGGCTGGAAGGGCCTCGGCCTCGTTCGCCTGAGAGGGGCAGTTACCGAAAGCTGAGCAGATACAAGTGACAGGGGGGCAGGGTGTAGTAAGTGTAGATAAGTGTGGATAAGTCTTAGTATCTTGGGGATGTGCCTGAGCCTGCTCAGGCGCTCTTCTAGAGGCCCTCTTTGCCACAAGGAAGCGGGCGCAGGAAGGGACCTGAGCTCACAACTAAGCCCTAAGCCAGCACAAGTAGTCCTGGAGGTGCACAGGTTCGCGGAAGTCGGGCCCCTGCATCAGGGAACCTGGGCCCACTGGGGCCAGCCAACTGTGACACCTGAGCCTGACGAGCAGAGTCAGAGCTACACCGCGACTCTGCGGCATTGTCCGATAGGCCCTGCCTGGAGCGATGCTAGGGGCTCTTGGCAAAGCTCCAGGAAGCATTCCCAAAGCTCCTCAGCAAAGCCCGGGTCTTCCTGATGACTACGACAAGTGCTCGAATGCTGAAGCTCTGGAACCGCGGCCGAGATGCCTTGAGCTCCGACTTCTCCAGGCACCCAGCAAAGTTAACACCGTGTTCCTCGAGAAGCGCCTGCCCGTGGCACTCCAGGTGCAGTATGCAGTAGTACTCAGTAGGCAGCCTCCCATCTTAATCCCCTGAAGCCCGCACCTCAAGGCTTTCTGTGTCCAGCGACAACACACAACAACGCCCTGCAAGTGAATGTTTTTCCGACTGGCCCCGGACAAGCCTGCAACTGCCTTCACACCGGTAGGCACAAGAATGAGCTGCACTTCGGCAAGAGCTTGCGCGACACGGGCGGCAGGCAACGGCGGCTTGAAACTGACCACCCTGGACCACCCTGCCGTGGACTGCGCTTTGTCAAGTCCCAGCGAGGGAACGGCCTCCCTGCGCGGATTGTCGGAGACTTGGGCCGACTTACTTTACCATAGCTCCGAAAGTCCCACAGGGTCAAGGCTCAGCGAAAGTCTCAGGGCTTCCGGCTTCTGCCGGCCTTAGCACCTTTTGAGACAAAGTGCCGAACGTGATTGAATTCTTTTTAACCGTTCGACTGTGCCTCTCAGAGAAAAGCTGGACCAGACGGACCTGCTTGGCGCCGTAAATCTCCCTGCTGAAAGGAATGCGGCATGTTCCCCAAAACTCTACGAAGATGCCTGGCACCGAAAGTGGCAACGTTGGCCGTTGGACCCCAAGTTCATCGCAGCAATTTGCACCATGTGCACCTTGTGAAGCGGCTAACGACATGTGTGGGGCTGAATGCAAGCACAAGCGTTGAGTAGTATGCAGGCACGAAATCGAACAAGACGGACAGCTGCAAACAAACTAAGCCTGAAGCTTTTGACTCAAACCTCGTTGCGGGCCGAGCAGCTTTTTTGGCGTCGCTGGCGCTTTGGCCGGACCATGTTGCTCCGGAACCTGCAAAGAGCAGCTCAACAGGCTCAACGGATCCGCAAACACGCAAAATCAAGAAGACCAGTATCAGCTTTTGGCAAGCGCCCCTAGTGTCCTGCCTTGGGTTTCGCTGCTTTGGCTTTCAACCGAGCTGGTGGCGTTGTTGTTGTTGTTGTCGTAGGCTTGGCAGTCACGGGGGCAGCAGGAGTGGTCGTCCACACGCCCAAAGAGCGGCCTAACAAGGCCAGGAGCAGGCTTCTCTGATTCGTTTAGCTTGGCAATTCTCTGGGGCAACCGAGGCTCCATGTCTCGTGCCGAAAACATGTTGCTTGCCGCTGCCGTCGCAAGGAACCCACCAAGCAAGCACAGTTCAGGTAAAACGATCACTAAGCAGTATCTCAGACCGCTGCCTGCCTGCATTGACAGATACACACACACACACACACGTATGTATACATATCATATATACATACATATGCTATACAAAACATATACACACACATGTATATATATATATATATAAATACACACATACACACATCTATGTATATATATACATATACATATATGTACCCATGTATGTATGTATGTATGTGTGTGTACATGTGTATATATACATATATACAAATATACATATATACATATATGCATATATACATATATACATATATACATATATACAAATATACATATATACATATATGCATATATACATACATACATATATACATAGATACATATATATATATATAACGTATGTGTAGATATTTATGCATATATACATATATATATATATATATATATATACAGATATGTTTATATTTCTATTTCCATTAATATTTGTGTATGTATATATGTGTATATATATATATAAGCATATATGTAACATTTTTATTACATATACGTATGTATGTATATATATATATATATATATATATATATATATGTGTGTGTGTGTGTGTGCATGCACGCATGCATGCATGCTGCAATGTATGCAATCATGTAAGAAAGTATGTATGTATGTATGTGTGTGTATGTGCTTATCGATTTATCTGGTTGGTTGCTTGTTTGCTTGTTTGTATGTCTGTTTGCTTATGTACTAGTACAAGCATGTTTATACTTAGGCTTATCTGTTTTTGCATAATCGTACATACACACACGTGCACATACACACACATACATGTGTATACACATACATGTGTATTTAGATACACATACATACATGCATACATACTTGCATACATACATACGTGTATACATTTTGGCACTGACTCTCGAACAAGTCAGGCGAGGCATGCCGGCATGCATGCATGCACGCACGCAGGCATGCGTGCGTACGTACAAACGGACAGACATACGTATCTGCACGATTCAGATGCCTACCTACGGAGCTATGCATATCAGCTATTAGTCTTCGAGTAAAAACTCAGGGTAAGCGCTGCACCCGCGAAATTGATGGACTCCACCACCAGGTGCGTCCTGGAGTGATTGCAAGGCTTTGTTTGGCACTCGCACGCTTACAAGGCTGCAATTGCTGGGATCGACCGGTAGAAACATCCGAAAGCCCGAGAGCGAGAGGTGGTTCGATCTCAAGGCGGTGAGGTGCAAGGTCTGCCAAGCGTGGTGATGATCGAAGCATAGGTCGCTCTTGTGATCCACTTTCCTGTTGATGGTGGCATCGTAGAAACCGTAACCTCGGTTCCGTCTGCAGGCATGGGTAATGTTTACCGAGCGAGCCTGCATGTGCAGCTGGGGTGCTGTTGCTATCATCACCATGAGAGGCGGACTCGGACAAGATGCCCCCGCCGCCCCCTGCTCAGGTGGGGCAGGTCTGCGGCGTTTTTCTCTCTCCTGTTTGCGATATTTATTTGCGTCAGGTGCTGTTGGAAGCCGTCTCAGAAAAGTCAGCACGAGGGCAACACATGCTCAAATAAGTTAGATTTCCAGCTAAGCGTGTGAGCGGCTGTCACCATTTCCGAAAAGAAAGACCCGGAACTTAATCTGGTGTGACTGCCAGCGCCTGAGATGACGCAGAGCAAGCCTGCGAGGCAGTTGAGACACTCGCTACCCCAAAATTTCCAGCCAGCGCTCAGATGCACAATTCACATGAGCACAGGGTTTCCGTGCCTCCAAGCTGAATCGTATGCTGAATGTGCGTGTGCCCCGTCACCAAGAAGTCCAGACCGAATTCAACATGCCTCAGCCATCCTCTTCCGGCAGCGTCAATCTGCGACCAGAACATGCGAAGCCGTCCCAGCTTGGGTTCTAAGACATGAAAAGCTACGTTCAGCTAGATCAGACAGGCGGCAATCTGTTGTACCACGCAGGCTGGCAGGGCGAGCGCACAAATCGATGCCCGGATACAACATGAAAGCAAGTCAACTGCATTCCTCTGCATTCCCATCCAGACATCAACGGCAAGCGGTTGCTGTTCCTGTGTTCCCTGTTGCCTTGCCTGATGTCCACACGGGAAGTGGGTAACCTTGCTGCAGGCAAGGCCCAGGCGGCCCCTCCGAGAGCACATCTATTTGTACTTACCTCTACTGGTAGTGCTCGGCGTCGGGGGCAAGAGACGAAACGAGTTTAGGCGTAGCCCTCACTTCACACTTCACGTGCTGGTTATGGTCGCACGTGTCCACCCCAAAATACCCCAACCTTTTTCGGCTACTCTGGCCCTTTGAGTGAAGGTTTCTAGGGGGCAAAGCAGAGTACGACGATCTTTGGGCTTGCGAGCTGTTCGATCCCAGCTCCAAGGAGGGCTGGGAGACTCGTTGCGAGTCTAACCCTGAGTACCCAGAAGCTGCACCCGCAGACACTTTCGAAACAAAGACAGCTGACATTGGCCGCCAAGCTGCTATCACCTGCCACGTGGCTTGCGAGGCCTTCAGCTGCTTCTCGACCCAAACGATCTGCTCCTGACGAATTGACGGCGCATTGTCAAGGATTGAAGACTTTAGGCGAGAGTTCCTGCCACAGCTTGGCGAAGTACATTGGACCTTGGCTCCGACGCTTCGAGACCGAAAAAAGCCTACTCCAGGCGGGGCGAAATGGGCGAAGCCTCCGCCGGGCTCCAGACAATCTGCCATGGAGACCGGCCCACCGACGCTTGCGCAGCTGGACCCAGGAGAGTTATGTTGGCAACCGCAGATGTTCCTCAACATCACCAGCATACGACGGCATCTGATGCAGTTATCTCCTTTCAAGGCTCGTCGTGGGTCTTGCTGCCGGGTCCACTGCATCCTCGCGTCGTTGCATGCAGGGACAGGCTTGAATGACTGCAAAGTCTCGCATTGATTGGCACCTCGACGTTGGAATCCGTCAGCAAGATGTCTATCGTGAAACCCTGTTCCGGAAATGCAACCTCGGGTGGTCGGGCATGATCGGGCAGTGCACCGTTTGACTGCCGCCTTTTGTAGAACGAGATCACAGTTCCTGTGCAAGGGGCGTGCTGCTTCCAGTACTGTGCTGGTAGCCTCCACCTGCCCCATGAATGGAATGGTGGTTTGGGGCCCTCCTCGCCTGAAAGCCTGTGACAAAACGAGGAGGCCGAGACCTCTGGTCATGCCAAGTAAAGGCAATCCTCGGAAGCTTGATGAAGCTGGTCCAAAAGCTGAAGCGCAACGATGCCGTCGACGAATGATTCGTCCACTACTCTCACAAGCCCTCAGCTGTTCATAATCCGTCTGCAGCTAAACATTCCGAGGCTCTGCTGATCCCAGCCTGCGGTAAAAAGCCAGCCGCCATAGTCATGGTTCCTCAGCACGACTGCTGCCAATCACACTGCTGCGTCCACCCATGAATCGACATCTGGAGGCCTTATCACTTTGAAGCTCCAATGCACAGGCAGGAGGGCCCGGAGACTCCAGGCAGACGAGGGCTTCCGCCGTTCACTCTTCGGACTAGCCAGACAAGGTTTCCAGGAGGAATCTGGCTTCGCTGTGAAGGGTTCGTGGGATATGGAATACCATTCAGTCCAGGAATCCCCAGCACCGAAAACCACACGACGTTGTTGAGCTCGGGGCTGTTGTAGACCTGCCTAAAGATGGTGTCAAACCTTGGCAGCTGCAGAGGCGCGAGAACGATTTCGCAAGGGAGCGAGAAACACGCTATGCTTCCATGGAACATATGGGCCGTGGTCCAGTGCACTCCTGCCATCGGCTGGGCTCCGCATTGGATGGGGATGCCACCCCAGTAGAAGTTGTCCCCGACCTGGCATGTCGTGGTCATGAGTCTGGCTAGACGCTGGAAGGACGGCCATGTGTTGCGCCGCCTGAAAAAGTATGACTTAAGTTTGAGTATAGAATAGTATAGATAAACTTGAGTTCACCGGGCGAGAAAAATCAGAATTCCGTGCGCCAGAATTTGCGTGCGCACGAGGAGTGTCAATTGTGTCAGGATCCCGGCCTGGTTTGGATTTGACAGTTTGACAAGTAATATTGAAGCCTCCGGCCTGAATGAAAGACTGGGGCTGGCAATAAAAAACAAATATTCGGGGTCGGAAACCAAGTAAGGGCCCAGCTAGTCAAAAGTAAACCTGAGAGAAGATGAAGAGAGCTCCGCTCCCTCCGGGAAGCCTAGAAAGCTTGCCTTGTGGGCTAGAAGCCAGAGAGCCAGAGCCTAATGGCCTGATGAACTGCAACGAAACCTGTGAACCCTTATCAATGGGGCCGTTTTTCAAACCCAGCTAAGGTAATCCTACTACTCCTACTCCTTCTCGTAGTCCTACTCCTACTCCTTCTCCTACTCCCACTGCAACGACTTCTTCCGCAACTATGACCACTCCTCCTCCTACTACTACTGCTATTGCGACTGCGGCTGCGACTGCGACTACTACTGCTACTGCTGTGGCTACTACTGCCACTACTGCCACTGTTGCTACTAATGGTGGGCCCTGAGGCCAATCACCTGAGAAGATTTCCATTGCCGTGGTGACGAAAATCCCCCGAATATTGCACCCGTCACATCCCCCCAGATCTGCCCAGCATAGACGATTGGACCAGGGGTTATTGTTACATTCTAAACGGTAGGAACTGACGCGACCAGCAAGAACGGGATGCGTTCTGAGGCTGGTGCATTGAGAATGAACTTTGGAGGGGTCTTTGCAGCACGCCGCCTCAGAGGCAGGGTAGTCCCGAACCCAGGCATTCTTTTCCTCTGCAAAGACCAATCGGACAACCCTGAGCTGCACACTTCATCTGATTGGCCACCAAGTACTGGGGCTCGCGGTCTACAGATTCGTTGTAGCCACAACTGGGAATGCAGGTGCCGGGTGCACCATGGCTGTTGAAGCAGAGCGACCTAGGAACAACAATCAGCAGCACGCCCATGACACCCCATTCAAGCCAAGTGACATCTGACCATCGGTGCAGCCAGACGGTCGGTGGGCAAAGACATGTGGCCCAGGCAAATTGCCGCCCTCGTACATCACCATCCTTCCGTTCAGCCGAGCCGGGGGACCGGGAGCGGAATGAGCAGGAGCCGGAGAAAAGCCACGCTGAGGCGCGGTCTTTCCGCCAACCGGAGGGTCGATGAATCCATCAAGGCCGCCCCAGTCGCCTTCGGTTTAGCGCATGCAGAGGACAAGCTGACTAGCACCTTATCGACCTCCGTCTCATGCCGCAGCGAGCTTGTTCTGCCCCGTGGCTGTAGCCACACGACTTTAAATCAACCCAGAAACTTCAAACGATGCGAGGCCGGACGAAAGGATGCAGGCAGCAACTTCTGTGCTGTGGTCTTTCTCTATTTCATGTGATTGCGGCATGGACTGGGGAAGTAGAAACGTTTTGGCTATAAGAAATGGTTCAAGTGCTTGGCCTGGGGCAAATCGGTTCAGGACGACGTCTCATGCACCCGTTTACTGGGGCATGCTCATCCCTGAGGCCACCGCCTATGATGAAGAAATGCATTGGCTCGCTTCCATGCACGAACCTTGGATTTCGGCATTCAGCCCAAATAGAATTAGAGGAAAGCTCAGCTCTACCTCCCCAAACTTGGCGGGTTTCCCAGCCTCCAGGAAGTCAGAATTGCACAGCGCCAGTTCATCTACTCATGACAGCTATCGAGGCACATCGGAGGCCACTCGACGCCATTGTGATCGCCCACTTTGTTGGGGACCGGAGGAATTGCATACTTCCTTGGTGGCCAAGAACTCCAACGGGCTTGTCTGTAAGACTTGAAAACGAAGCTTCGATATGTGAGCAAAAAAACAAGGCTCGGTGAAAACGCCATGGACCATTACATTCGGAACCCCGCAACCCGTCGTCCAAGCCCTTGCTAGTCGAACGCTGTACGTGCTCGCTCCAAAGAAAGTTGCTCCAAGCAGCTCACAAAAAGTACATTACAAGCCTGCAAAGTGAAAGCTTAAATTGAAAGGCTTAAAAATAAATGCTTGAACTTAAACATCTCAAATTTGTCCAGCAGCTGCTCAGGTGGCGACTGCATCCGTGCTTGCAAGTCTGCCTGAGTCTCGCAAGCACTCGGTGCCGACAGATGCTCAACGAACATCGTAAATCCAAGCTTAGTGCAAACTAACGACATGAGGCGGTCAGGGACAAGCGTACTACAAGGTTTGACATTCGAAGATGCTTCGAAGAATCATTTGCATTGCGCCCGGGCCAGGGCAACGAACTGAACTGACTCGTAAACCGAGGCGCGGGAAAAGCCCAAAGCCGAAGGCACACTACTACCAGGATCAACATGCCCAGCGCCACGACATAGTACGCCACCTTCCTGCCGACTCGCAAGGGGGGAGTAGCAGTCAAACCGCGTGTCATTTAGTACGAGTTTTGTTGCTGGCCCGAGCACGGACCGAAACGCTCACTCCCACCTGCTCTTCGGCAGCACCTGCTTCTCCCTCGCCATGCTACGCGCCGAGGGCCCTGAACGGATGCCGTGAGCTCCGATTTGTAAGCTTGTAGGACTCTCCTAATCCAATTGTCCGCACAGGCCTTCATAGCACTCTGTAAGCAAATGCTGCTCCTGCCAGATGTGGTTCATCATACTTCCGCACAACTTGCACGGCCCGGTCTAGCCTCTTGATCCCGTGTCTCAATCAAACCCGGCATGGGCCACCTCAGAGACTCTCAAGGGCAAGCCCCATATTCTCGATTCTAGGCACAGCTCACACCCGTTACATGCCAAGAGGCAGCTGTTGCTTGTGGTTGGGCTGATCGCCACCGCAAATGCAGCGTGCTGCTCAGCACACGAGGCAACACTGACGTCCCTATGGTTTTCAGGTCAGCTCAGGTTGAGATTGCTGGGTCGGGACTGGCGTCCAAGGCAGAGTAGGGTTGCTATGGCTTCTTGTGGCTCAGGTTGGAGAACTTCGTCTTGAGACTTCACTCACTGGAAGCCCATCGGTAACTGCGATACACTTTTGTCAAAACCAGGCTCAAATCTTGGCACTTGTGGCAGTACTGCCTTGAGCTCCTTGACACTGCCCGATGCCTGGCTTTACAGTTCCGATCAGCAGGATTGAGGTACTACCACGTCCCAGTGGACACACAGGAGCGGGCCTTCCCATCGTCCGGCCTGCGAAGACAGGCTCAAGCTTGCCCGCCCAGGCTTTCCGCAACTACGAGTACGGTCTGCCCGTTAACGAAGAACTCGGTTCTCAGACCCCCACCGGGGAGAAGACACCCAATGACCAGCCTCGCAGCACATAAGGCTAGGGCCGGCTGGGTGGAGGTCGGAGTGTCCGGAACAATGCAACATGCAAACACCGGAGACCCCGACGGAAAGGGTTGGCTCCTGAACCAGCAGTCACAGTTTGATGCAGGCCCTAACTTCTGCCGCTTGTCAAATCCGTTCGAGTGTGGCCCGCGAAAGCCAAACACTGGTTACTTTGGCTACTGTGTTCAGAAAACACGATAGCAAAAACAGGTCCAACGGAAGTGGGAATCTGTCGAAGCAGCCTGAACTGCAAACGCGGCTCCTTGTCTGCCCGCTGGAATTTCCGAGATGCCCTGCGAGGGGTGGGCAAATGGCCAAGTCCATTTTGCAGCTTTCGATTGGTCATGGTCCGAGCAGTTTTGCGAGACTCCCAAACTATGCAGGCATCTCCGTTTAAGCATCTGTCAAAAGTGCGGGCACGGGACTCTTCGTGACCGCTGCTGCTTGGACCTCGGGGGCTGCTACTTGCCGATGCCTCTATTTAGGATGCAAGAACCTTTCCGCGAGTCTCTGGCGCTTCTTCGTTGCTGCGACCTGCGGCAAACTGACATCAAAACTAGGCCTGGGTAAACACATAGACTGCTCTGCAACGTCTCTTGATTATCGGGCAACTCATGACTGATGTTCTCCGTCTTCCCTCGTGGGCCTTCTCAGGGGTGTGCAGTCCTTGCATGCATGCAGCAGGCGCTTGCTAAATCCCGACAGAAAGCTTCCAAAGCCTTGTGCAGGGGCTGGCCGCAGTCTTTGCGTGCTGGGGCCCCTGCAGCGAGCAGGCTGCAAGAATGGATTCTGTCGTTCTTTGCCCAACTCTCGCTGCGCTGCTGGCGGGACCCACTGCTCGGGGCGAGGCAGACTTCGGGGAGTGCTGCATGCGCTGTCTTCACCTTTACTTCCGATCTACAGATGCGTCTCCAGGTATGAAACCGCAGTACCAGGCATCTGCGTCTCAAGAGCCTCAACTCTTTTCTTGCATACCCACTCGGGCAAGCTGTGTCTAGCGGGTGAAGGCTTTCACCCTGTTCGCGAGATGGACTGTCTGCAGCGGCAGGAAAATGATCCTGCCAATGCCTGCACTGTGGGGTACAAGACCACGAGGTCTTTTTCAAAATGTCTTCTCGGGCTTATGGTTCCCACCACCGGACACGAGCAAATGAAGCAAATGCTGTTTCGAGTCTTATGAAATACTTGTCGTACCGCAATCCATAAAGCCCGGCATCAGAGTTAACCTCTGGGTTTGCATTATCAATGCTCCGGGCACTAGACCTGCTAGAGCATCTAGGCCCTGAGCACCACGACTAGTTCTATACCTTAGTTCTCCGACACTATCTGCGGCCGGAAGCATTCCACAGCCGCTCGCATGTTGTTCGAAGACGGCTGGCTCAAGCTCAGCTGGTCGCAAGCCAGCATTAAACACCGGACAAACGAGTCAAAGTGGTTGTGCGTGATGCGCAGATGCTGGTGGACGTTGATGAGCTGCAGCTGCCTACGGCCATCAGGTTCGAGGCCTTCGCGGAGGACCTTCTTCCAGAAACGAGTCTGGAACATCATCACTTGAGGCCTCGTGCCGGTGAAGAACACGTTTATGGTAGGGTCTTCGCTTATTCGCTGGTACCAAGCTTCGATCAGCTTGCTCAGGCCTTTTTCGCCCTCGAGTTCATCCATCAGTCCCTGAAGCCGACCCCAATCAACTGCAGACTTCTCTTCTGCAATCTTATCTTCCTCCGCATCGTCCTCCTGCTCCGCTTCTGTGGGACCCACCATGGACGACACCAGCGACTGGAAGCATGTCTGCAGCTTCTCTGCCACTTCTGGCGGCAAAATGTGTGCCACCATACTCTTGTTGAAACAGCTCAGCCACTTCTCACGATGCTCAGGCAGCATTTGCAAGCCTGCGTGCTTATCTCGCAGCTTCTGCGGATCTACTTCAGGAAGCTTGTCGCCTGCGGCCGCTGTGGCCAGCAAGTTGCGAATTGCAAGCCGACACGGCAACTCGTCCTGGTTCTGCAGGAAAGGCACCAAGATGGACGAGGAAGCGGCCTGCAACATGCCGACCTACAAACCCCACTGGAACTACGTCACTCAAAACAGAGATGATGCAAGAACGAGTCGGCCTCCCGCTCCATGTGGGCCAGGATCTTTTCGATCTCTTCTGATCCACCGACTCGGTCCAAAAGCGGAGCACTACCGTCGTTGGAGCGGCGAGCGAATGGACAGGCTCGGCCGTTCGAGGCTGTGTTCCCCGAGACAGGGCAGGCCTTTGCGCGGGAGGTGAGGACGACATGCTGCCGAAGATTCTCCAGCTGGGCTGGCGCCAGGTCCGCAGCCTCGGGATCCTCGCCGCCCAAGGCCGTGCGCACATGGTCCAGGAAGACATCAAAGTGGTAATCTGTGATGCGGAAAAGCTGGTGCTGCTGCTTCAGGGAAGAGGTGGGAGAGACGGGAAGAGAATTGGCTGAGGAGATGGAGCTTGGGCTCGTCGTGCCCGGCGTGGCAGTGGTGTGGCTGGGAGTGACAGCTGCTGGAAGCGAGCCTCCCATCGCACAGCCCAAATACTTGGCTTTGCGGTCCTTGCATGCCGGGTCTGTGTTGCGAAAGAAGACGGACACCCGCGAGTCCGAGCTTATGGCACCAAACAGCTTCCCAGCACATCGCTGCATGGCAGCCATGACACGGCCCTTTCTCGCGTTCCTGGCCACCCTCTGTTTGCTGGAATCCGACCCCGCGTTCAGCATGCCTTCCACAGCCTGGAGCCGGGAGCTTCGCAAAGTACTGCCGCACAGAACTTCGGTTCGAAAGCCCTCCAGGGATCGAATGTTGCTGTTCGCGACTGCGGCAGGATGCACAGGCCAGGGGAACATCGCTCTCAGCACTTTGTCCACCTGCGCAAGGAAGGCACTGTATCGCGCATCGGTCAGGTAGAGATCTTGGTGGGCGCTCCGGAGTTTACTGGAGAAGGATGCACCAGAAGGCGGTGTGCCACCGTTCATGATCAGCTTGAAGATGGACTGAAGGCAAAGTCCCATCTTGGGGCTCTCCGCGAAGAATTGCAAGTAGGAGTCGGCCTTACACAGGTCGAACATCGTTTTCTGGAACCACTGAACGTCGTGTGCCATGCTTGGTGGCTGTACAAGTCTGGCATTGCGAGCACGGTTGAGGACGAGCTCACCAGAATGCTCCATAAGAACTTGCATGTCCTTGGAATCGTTGTCCTCTAAGCCTGCACGGGAAGATACGCAGCAGAAACAGGAACGAGCACTGAACATGCTTCCACGGTATGCGCCTGTTTCTGTCAAAACCTGCCGAACGTTCTCGCAGAAGAGGGTGACAGCCCCGATGTCCTGCTGAAACAAAGGCTGCTCACCGGCGAAGACCACCTCCATAGCAGCGTCGATCGTGCCCTGCCACAGTGTCCTGGCTGGACAAGACTGGACTCCTCATGCAGTGTCCTGGATGACCCAAGAGGCCCCAGTTCAGGACAGTCGCAAGTCAAGCAGAGCGAGAGGCGAGAAGTTAGGCAAATCGCAGAATCGGCAGCAAAAATTGTTTGCGGCCATTTGTGGCTTTCATTCGGTCCTCGCAAACTGGTGCAATGTGGCCAGGTTGGTTTCTTCGTCGCGCTTCTCCGTCTCGTTTAGGCATGCCTTGCAGGGAAGGTCTGACCGCCAGACTTGAGCCAGTGATGACTGTTCCTGCCTCCAGTCTTGCGTCCTGTGTCAACAAGTCTGAGAGGGCTTGGGCGAAGTCCTCCGCGGCAATGCCCAGGGCGCTCATGAGCCACACAATCTCCTGCAGCTTCCGAGCCGTCGAGACACTACCGGCAACGGTAATGCTATCGGAATCCGAATGTGTCAGCTGCTGCAGATACCTGTGATGTTGCCGCTCTCTCAAGGTTGAAACACATCTCTGAAGCAAGTGACAAAACAACGCACCTCTTCTCCTTACAAGCGCAAACATCCCGTCTCCATCCCTTGAATCGAGTGGAAGGGTGAGGAGGACTCAGCAATACGCCGTTACCCTTCCGGCTCCTGCGGGCACCGATCTGTCTGTGCCGTGGCCAGGCGCGCACGATGGCCTGCTGTGATTGGAAGCCGCAGCTTCTCGATGGAAGCCTCGAGGGATCTCATGCCAGCAAAGGGAAATCCCCACTCTGTCAAGCCTCGCCATGCCTCGCCGCCTCGTTCTCACCCCACTCCCGATTCTTTCTGACGGTACAAGTCTGAGGCCTGGATCTCTGCCATGGCAGAATCACCTGGCCGCAAAATGGAGGCACGTGTGTGAGGCCATTGGTCTGCACTTTTCAAGGCCAAGTCGCCCCGCGATCCCCATGTTCGAAACGCCTCGAGCAAGGCATCTGCGAAGTCGGTGAAGAGAAAGTCCGACACACCCAGGTTCC